CCAGGAGCAACCCAGAAACAAAATGGAACTGTGCATCGGATCACGGGATACCACCATCTAGTGAAACTTCAGTTGGGTAGTACTCTGACCCAGGACCTCCAAACAGGGTGCTATTTGGAAGAAGAAACAGGAAGGTGATGAGGCATCCAATGACACCAAGGACTTGAGGGCGCACCCTGCTCTGGAGCCACATGAAGTAACCATCAGTGACCAGGACTTCCCATCAAACAGCCTGGAACCCAGCACCGGATCGGAGAATGGTAATTGCCCAGTCAAATTCCTCCTACTGATTATTCAGGCTAGACACCTCCAATCCAGGCACTTTTTTGATAGCTTTCTCCGCCTGTCTAGAGTATCTAGGGCAAGGTAGGCAACCTTTTAGCAGCACTGTGCCGAAATAAGATTGTGATGTCCCGTAGCGTGCTGGTCCTGTTTTTTTCTAATTGAGGTGTGTATGTTGCTGTATTCTGCTTGTGTTATGTATACTGCAGTTGCTCTGTATTGTTGTTGTATTTGTGCGTATATGAGCTGTTATATTGTATATGTTCACGAGTAGTGATGTCCCGAACGGTTCGCCACGGACGGCGAACATATGCGCTGTTCGGTCCGCCCCCTATATCATCATTGAGTACACTTTGACCCTGTAACTCACAGTCAGCAGACACATTCCAGCCAATCAGCAGCAGACCCTCCCTCCCAGACCCTCCTACCTCCTGGACAGTTCACTAAGAATGCAGCTTCACAATGAATGTAAAATGGATGCTGTCCAGGAGGTGGGAGGGTCTGGGAGGGAGGGTCTGCTGATGATTGGCTGGAATGTGTCTGCTGACTGTGAGGTACAGGGTCAAAGTTTACTCAATGATGACGAATAGGGGGCGGACCAAACAGCGCATATGTTCGCCGTCCGTGGCGAAACGTTCGGCGAACCGTTCGGGACATCACTATTCACGAGTAGTTTGTGGTATCATGTGTGATACTTATGTATGGGGGCTGCTTGTGGAATTGTGTGTGTGTGGATGGATATTTCACATTGTGTGTCTGGTAGTGTGTATGTGTGGGGCTGTTTGGGGTATTGCATGTGAGAGGCTGTCTGTGGGGTTGTGTGCATGTATGTGGATTGTTAGTGGTGTTCAGTTTGTGCGGATTGTGTGTATGTTTGTGTGTGGGCTGTTTGTATTATTTGTATGAGGGGAGGGTTATTCTGCAGCTCTGTGTATATCTAGCAGTGTGGGTGGCTTCCCTGGGTTCCAGTGGGGACCAAGCTGGCCAGGTACAGGTCAATGACAGGAAATGCAACAGCATCTGCGAGCTGCTCTACTACAGTGTGGATTCCAATTCACAAGTGCTAGAATTAAGTGATCTGAGATCGCTACCTCTTTGTGCTGCAATATATAAATTTTTATCGTATTCGCAGATATCTGAAGTTTCACTGGACCCCTGATAGGCCAGAGCCTGTTTGGCTTTAGCAGCCTTGAGTGCCATACAAAGATGCCTTGAGTGCCGTACAAAGATGCCTTGAGTTCCGTGCAAAGATGCCTTGAGTTCCGTGCAAAGATGCCTTGAGTTCCGTACAAAGATGCCTTGAGTTCCGTACAAAGATGCCTTGAGTTCCGTACAAAGATGCCTTGAGTGCCATACAAAGATGCCTTGAGTTCCGTACAAAGATGCCTTGAGTTCCGTACAAAGATGCCTTGAGTTCCGTACAAAGATGCCTTGAGTGCCGTGCATAGCACACGTGCCATAGGTTGCCTACCCCTGTTATAGGGCATGTACGATGCTTGGGGATAACCTGAGGTAAATATGTTCGTTGGGGGATGCTGTTGTAAAATGCCCTGGTGTCTGGTAGTTAATTCAATTATCTGGTTGTGATTCAGTTATGACACCAAGATGCCAGGGTTGTTAATGCCTTGATGATCCCCCATTGGGGGTGTGTGTATATAAAGTAGCCTGCTGCTGAATAAAGGTTGTTCGTGCTTTACCCTTCACCAAACATCAGCGGGTGTTTGAGATTTTAGCTAAAATTAATCTAAACTTTCTCTACCTGGGGATAGGACATAGTTGGTGGAGATACGGAGTCTGAGTATAGGAGCGCTGTCACACTCACAAACAGGGAGCAGGGTTGTTAATTTGTAATATTAATGTTGCAGGGTTGCAATCTTGTTACGTCAGCCATCACAGACCTTACCGCAGCTTTGGTAGGACAGTTGGTAACTGGGCTATCAGACGGCTGGGTTTAAATTAGGAGAAGTGGAGGCTGCCCAACCCTGCTGTACACTATCAGTAATGTCCAGATTCAGTGTATCGCAGGCGTGGCTCTGCAATCATGATATTTGGAGACACGCAGTCAAGTCCATGTACATTTCTTCACTTATTACCCAGAACACCCCGTGCATTCTGCGAGAGACACCTTGCTCAGTAATGCCGGTCTGGTGACGACGAAGGAATAAGAAACAGGTTGAATTGCTGACGCTCTCTTTGCAGAAATCACCCAGTACATTCCTGGCACGACACAGGAAAGCAGTCATCTCCGGTTACCATGGCAACAGGGAGGCGAAGCCATTTAATGACAGTTAACGACATAATTTCCAGGAAAATTTAGAAAATTTCTAAGAGAACACACTGAGGGCATCACCAGGGATGGTTTGCACAGGATCCCAGAGTGGAATCTGGTGAATTTATGTCAGATCTTATCAGTACAAACACAGGAACTTAATACAACCAAAACTTTATATTTCCTCTTTTATTTTTATTCAATTTATAACAAATTGCTTTTTTAAATCTATTTTTATAGAGTTTTAATAGTATATTATTATTATTTTATTGTTTATATAGCGCCATCAGATTCCGTAGCGCTGTACAATATGCCACCTACACCTTGAATAGAAAGATCATAGTTTTAGTTATAATCACCAGGAAAAAATAAAATTGTGTCTTCACTGCAGCATTGGGTGAAAATTATAAGACTTTTTTTTCTTTAGAGAATAAGAATAATAATGATAAAAAATAACCTGCTTCCCATTACTGGAGAGACAGCTCACTAGATAGGACTTAAAGTTCAGTCAATAAAACGAGTGCAAGTGCAATGTGTAGTGGTTATGGTGTCAGGCGAGCCCTGGCACCCCATGCATATAACATTGCTGCTCGCCTCATCGCGGAGCCAGACACTCCTGCTAGGAGCATCCGTTAACTCTCCTGCGCTAAGCCCCGCAGTGCGGCACTAGCTCATTGGCGGACGGTGTCAGCTGATCGCTCTCTGCCAATGAGATAAGCCATTTTGGTTTGAGGAGGAGATTAATGTTGATGGAATTTACTCTTCCAAACCAGTTGATGAGTGCGGAGGATGAGGATTTTATATCTACCTGTGGGGTATTCAGGATGGAACAGGGTTTGTTTCTGATTTAGGATTACGATATATCTGTGCACAAGGCGTACGAACTGAGAGGAACCGCCCCGCAGCTTCTATCACTTCATGCGCTGCCCGGATTACTACTTGTGAACTTGGCGAAGCATGGACACGGTTTGGCTCTCTCCAGGGAGTGAGCGAGTCAGACAGAACTGGTACAGTAAAGAAGTAAGATCTCTTCCATTGCTGTGTCTGGGCTAGCGGGCTGGCTTATAGCTTCTTACAAATCGCAGCAGTTATAAGCTGCCAATGGGTGCACCATCAACTAGCCAAAGATGCAAAGTTGTTATGGTGCTTAGAACGACCCCTTAAGAAGCTTTAGGACAGAAATACAGTGAGAGAATAATGTCTCTGCAGAAGAGGAACCTGCGGTGTGGACTTCCTCAGAGATCTTCTAATCTCACATGTAATCAAGTCATCGTAGGAGGAGGTAGAGCAAACATGCCGAATGTCACCATACCACAAGCACAACAAGACAGAGTTAGGTGACATCAATGTAGAATGAAAATCAAACCTCACTGCCTCTGCCTCGAGCAGAGAGACTGTATCTGTAACCCTGGGTCAGTACCCAAACTGGGTCCCACTGACTGCGCTATTTCTGAAGGTCCCATTAGTCAGCGCCACCAGTAACAGTCCGGCTTCCACAGTATAACTGGCATCTTTATCGGTATAATTCACTAAATTCTGAATTTTCACAAATTAATTTAGAATGGTAAAACAGCACAAAAACAGCTGATCTGGAACAATTCTATCACTATGCCATAGTCTCAGCGTGGCCATTTTTACCTGAGTTTCCTGAATAAGCCATGTGGACATTCTGTTGGTATCATATGATACTGCAATCCCAAATCACCCCTGAACAGGCCATGTTTTTATACGTTAGCTCTGCACGTCTGTGTGTTAATAAAGTGATCATTGTCTTTCAAGTCAAAAACTGCATCATCTCAAAAACTGGACATTTGCAAAAGGTGCTGACAACAAGCAACACAGACAATTCTGTTTTGTCATAGTTTAATGTACTAACTAGTTACACATCCCATGTTTCAACACACAGATGTGTTAATTCCTTTTTTGGGCAGTGAAGGAAGAAGGAACATGCCAATGCTATGTAATAAAGGAAGGACTTTTCATGTACGGGCCATCAGTATGAACATGTGATATGGCTCCCAGCAAAATAACCCATGCTGTTTCTGACAATCCCTAAATCAGATGCATATTTTAGCCTTTTCTAAAAAATCTCTATTTGACTATTTTTATAGAATAATCATTTTGTCACTTTAACCCCTTGTAAGCCAGTCTGCTGGAGGTTAAACCCCTTCCAATAAGGTGGGATTGTTTCAGACACAGCCAGCATTTAATCACAGAATGCAGTATTTACTAATATGTCAGCAAGCCTGCATGCCCCTTAATCATGGAACAAGAGGCCCCTATCCTGGCACACTGAGCACACAGTACTAGCTACAAGGAGGGGCCAAGATAAAATATCTAAAAAATCTAATAAAAGCATTAAGGGATGCCCAGACCCTGGAAGGAGGGAAACTGATTGAAAGATGCAGATTGTCACTTTGGATCTGAGAGGGAATAAACCCAGGGGCCAGCTGTCTGTGAGAGGCTGCAGGGATGCTGAGAGTGGAGGCACTGGCCCCTGTTAAGGAGAGGAAGTGTGGCTGACGTGTGCTTCCTGATGATTGAATACAAAGATGGGTGGGGATTGCACACTCAGGGGCTGCTTCTTCACAGAGCTTGGATCCAGAGATACAGTCTCCACTGCCTGCTACAGCCAAGGTAACAATGGGCAGCTTGATTTCCTCAATGTATCATCACTAGGGGACCATAAACATTCACTCTTTATTTACCCTCAGCCAGCTGGCAATCAATGGGTTAATTAGACATCCTAATTCAAAGCCCAGTGCAGTCTTCATTTCTATTTATAAAGCTACAGACATTTTGTTTTTCTGTTTTTTTTTTTTTAATATAATTTTGTAAATAATGTCAGATTTCCCATTACAGAATGTTTGGAGAATGTTGTTTAATGTTTACAAATCCCATTGTTTTATTTAACACCTGGTTGGGAAGCTGATTTGTTACAATGTAATCCAGCTGTGATAGCAGAGTGTTTAGCATTAAGCTGTGTGTCATTGAAAGGTGCATTCATTTTGGGTTTAAAGAGAGTCATTGCTTGTTCCAGTATCACTGAGTCTGGTTATAACAGTAGATAGAATTCTATTTGTGTGAACCTGTTTACAGAATTTGGGGGAGACCTGTCAATAAGGTGTGGTATATTCTGCTTGTTGAATTGCTATCATTCATTTAATACAATGCTTCCTCTGACCTGCAGACATTTTGATTTAAAAACTCTCTCTATAATCTATTCATTTTTGGTATGAATGATCTTATAGGTCTATGCTTCCCATATAGGAGCCCTGTTATTTACCTACTATTTACAACAGACCTGTGATATGTTTGTATCCAGTATTAACCATAAGCACCGATCATTTACCGGTTTAACCCTTCGAGTAACTCTTTGCACATCTACCTGGCTGTTAGGGGGTTAAACCCTAGTTAGAGCAAGAAACACTATGGATGTTCATAATCAGTGGATTATTTTAGTCCAATTGCCATGGCAACTCCTGGTGTGATTTTCACACATTGTGATGTGTGTGTGTGTGTATATAATAATTAAATTAGTGAACACTTATTATATTGCACAGCATTTACTTGCTCCTTGCATTTTACTGAATTACGTAGGCAGGCCTGGGGATGAATCATTTTAAGAACTGTTCGAAAAGGACTGGAATAGAAATAACTATTTTTCTGTGCCTTACTGGTTTGGGGGACAGATTTAAAATGGTAAAAATACATCCCAGCACTTCCTTTTAAAAGTAGTGTCCCTTTTATTTGGGGCCCAAATTGTATAACAGCCATGTTTCAACCACTGCAATGGCCTTTATTAAGAGAAACCTTGCTCTGTACACTGAGGGCCCCTGAATTTAGTTAATGTTTCTACTTTCCTGAATATATACTGGTTAAGGCGGAACCGGATTCCTTGGACCCTTGTGTGTTTTGTAGGGGCTGTTCTTATTTTGGAGATTTAAATTGGTGTCTGAGCTTTGTAACTTTTGACCCTCCCCATCTGTCACTTGTACAGATATCCTATGGATATGTGAATTTAATTTGCATAAATTAGCATTTTTAAATGTTGCGAACCCAAGAAGCTGCTTTAATTAGCTGGGTGTAAATGTTCTAGATGTATAAAGCAGGCTAGCTGTAGATACTATGTAAGTGTTTGTAGATTCTGGCTGGATAGGCCATCGTTCTGTCTTGATTGGACTCATTCATAGCTCTGTGGTCTGTGCTGGGAGTGTGTGACCAGATGACAAACCGTGTAGGCCATGCCGCCCCTTTAATTGGATATTCTAATTATACCATGCACCGTGTCATACTTGGTAACATTATAGACCGCTGTCCTAGTCATATTAACCATTCAGGCTGAAATATTGTTTGTCATTTCTCTTTACTTTATCCATTGATTTCACTTTTTATTCTGTTTTCTGGCTGGGCCACTTGACTGTTGTAATGGCTTTCTATGCAACATTATTTGAAATATTGGCCAGCTTATGACGAATATATAATTTGCGAATAAAACAAATATAATCCACTTAGGTGCCATCTGGCCATGTTCTGGGATGAGCTCTTTATTGTCACAGCTGGGCCCTCTGTGTCAAACTGCGTTAGCTGATGGTGATGGGTGAATGCTGTGTGAGAACATTATAGAGACTGGTCCATGTCTCCGCCTCGGTTATGGAGACTGCTTACACTGGGTCTGTTAATGGACAGGACAATGTGAGATATACATACTCTGACATGAATTGCTAAAATTCCAGTTTATGGGTAATTCTGGGACAAAATTGTTTTGAAAACTCTCTCAACTATGTTTTCAGATGGAATGTTGCGGCATATATTTTTAAAAAAAATATATGAATTTGACTTCTTAACAAATCACACTTAAGTGAAGGACCCTGGTTAATTTGCCATGTTAAAGGCGTTCTATAGTGTAAGGAATACAAAGTTTTATTCATTGCACAATAGAGCCCTCTGCCCCCGATATTCTCCCCCTTTTTCACGCCTTCTACCCCTGGTGATGTCCATTTGCGCTGGTTCGGATCTCTGCTTCATCCAATATAATTGGACGGGTGGGGGAGGCCTTCTCGTAGGGAAGCATAGGCAGTGCTTTCCTATGGAGATTTCACAAACGCTGGATGTCCTCATGCAGAGTGTGAGGACTTCCAGCGTCATTTAGGTGACCCCGAATCCGGTAAACTCCCGGAACTGCCTCTAGTGGCTGTCTGGTAGAGGCAGTCTTATTGCTGCTATTTAAACATTGCAATTTCTCTAAAACATGATTCCGATTGCACAAGTAAAAGAATCCGGGACACTGAACCCAGACAATTTCAGTCACATGAAATGGTCTGGGTGCCTATAGTGTCCCTTTTTAAGATTAAAATCTGTCCTAGAATGACCCATGATTTATCAGTGAAGGTCTGCCTCTGATATGAGCGGTTTACAGAATGTTTGATAGTTCAAACCTCGGTAATACAGTGATAGAATCTTCATTCTAGAGACCACACAACGCTAGCAGGACTGTGACCTGATTAAGGCTGCATCTGATGGCGACCTGTCTCCTCGTTTGGGTTCTGTTACCATCTGGGGTGGATGAACATTGTATAAACCATAATTTCCAATAGGTGGGAACACATTGCGTAGCACCAAGGGACCACTGCTAAAAAGGCTGCAGAAGTAATATGGTAAGCCTGGTGGGTAGGGTAATGAGGGTGAACCAATGATGCAAATCTTGTCATTGGCTGCGTTACTCAAAGGGGGTGGGACTATCGGAAGAACTGGCAGGTCAGCGTAAATGCACCCCAGCTTGCCTGCCAATCACAAAACCCCGCCCACTGAGCGCAGTCAATGCAGAGAGTGCTGTTTCATCCCTAATGCCCATTGTAGCACGTCTAATGATGCTTTTGCTTTTTGGGGACCGTTCTTTGGTGTCCCCAAAAGCATGACATTAGAAAATCGCCCTGGACGGAAAGACCGGGCCCTGAAATCAGGACTGTCCCACATAAATTGGGATGGTTGGAAGCCCTATATCCGATCTCAAACAAAGGCTTACTGATATTGAATGTCTTTCACAACGCCAGCCGCTAGAACTATTTCTGGTATTCGCCAGTGATATCTCTGGCTACATCTGCTTTCTTAGTGTTTATGCAAAACCCAGGGTTATTATAGATTAGTAAATGGATCCCAGTTTTTTTTTTTTATGAAACTTCCTTATTATTCAGTTACAGAAATAAATTGTAAACATATTAATAAACTGCTGTGACTTTTTAAAATGTCTACATGTGCAAAAAATAAATCCGTATTTCTTCATTTAAAATGTACCGTTTTTATTCCGTCTATAAGACGCCCCCATGTATAAAACAGCCCCTATTGTTTGGGGCCCAAAATTAAGAAATTCATTTTTTAAATTTCAAATAGAACAACTCTGATATTTTAGAGGTGACTTCTGAGGAGAACAAAACATTTCTGATTCTCATGCCTCCCCTGTGCTACTGTACTCTGTAAAGTTAATGGCTCTATAGTGCATGCTGGGTTACTGCAGCTCCCACAATACAGTAGGTGGTGTGAGGGTGTGCTGGGAGACTGCAGCTACCATAATGCAGCAGGTGGTGTGAGGGCGTGCTGGGAGACTGCAGCTCCCACAATACAGCAGGTGGCGTGAGGGCGTGCTGGGAGACTGCAGCTCCCACAATACAGCAGGTGGCGTGAGGGCGTGCTGGGAGACTGCAGCTCCCACAATACAGCAGGTGGCGTGAGGGCGTGCTGGGAGACTGCAGCTCCCACAATACAGCAGGTGGCGTGAGGGCGTGCTGGGAGACTGCAGCTCCCACAATACAGCAGGTGGCGTGAGGGCGTGCTGGGAGACTGCAGCTCCCACAATACAGCAGGTGGCGTGAGGGCGTGCTGGGAGACTGCAGCTCCCACAATGCAGCAGAAGGTGTGAGAGTGCAGGAGACACAGCTCCCACAATGCAGCAGGTGGTGTGAGGGCGTGGGGAGTGCAGCTCCCACAATGCAGCAGGTGGTGTGAGGGCGCGCTGGGAGACTGCAGCTCCCACAATGCAGCAGGTGGTGTGAGGGCGCGCTGGGAGACTGCAGCTCCCACAATGCAGCAGGTGGTGTGAGGGCGTGCTGGGAGACTGCAGCTCACACAATGCAGCAGGTCAGGTGGTGTGAGGGCGCGCTGGGAGACTGCAGCTCCCACAATGCAGCAGGTGGTGTGAGGGCGCGCTAGGAGACTGCAGCTCCCACAATACAGCAGGCTGGGACATCACAGTAGTATTCCCTCTGCTCCCTAATACCTATTTCCTCTCCCATAAATATAGATCAGGAGGCAAGACCTACCTGAGGTGGAGCAAACCTTAATATGGCTGCTCCTTTATGGAGTGGCGTGTCTCTGGAGCTCCGTTGGTGGTAAGTGCTGACGTCTTCCTCTAGCCATAGCATTCAGAAGCTGATTGGCGGGATGGAGACCAGGTATGTGTGGTATGTGTTCAGCTGGGGCACACTGAAAACGTGGCAGGCGCCATTTTGGCTTAAGCCCCACAAGTTGTGTGTGTGGGTGTGGTTTTTATTTTTATTTTTTATTCCTGCAGTTACATTCTGTGTATAAGACGACCCCAATTTTCAACTTAAAACATTTAGAAAAACAGTCTTCTACATGGAACAGTAATTTTTATCCCTGCACATGCTGGCATACCAACCGCTTCTTATTCCAATTACTATGATCGAGGTTATTATATGTTACTAGGTTTTGTTTGAATCGCTATTAGAATTGTAGTCAAATAACCGCACATTAGATGAATGATTTTACACCAAAATAAAGTGGTCAATATGACTTCTGCTCAGTGAGTTTACATGTTAGAGGGAGTGGGGTATAGTGACACAGTAACAGAGGGATTGAACACTGGGATTGAGGGCCTGCTCAGTGAGTTTACATGTTAGAGGGAGTGGGGTATAGTGACACAGTAACAGAGGGATTGAGGGCCCTGCTCAGTGAGTTTACATGTTAGAGGGAGTGGGGTATAGTGACACAGTAACAGAGGGATTGAGGGCCTGCTCAGTGAGTTTACATGTTAGAGGGAGTGGGGTATAGTGACACAGTAACAGAGGGATTGAGGGCCTGCTCAGTGAGTTTACATGTTAGAGGGAGTGGGGTATAGTGACACAGTAACAGAGGGATTGAGGGCCTGCTCAGTGAGTTTACATGTTAGAGGGAGTGGGGTATAGTGACACAGTAACAGAGGGATTGAGGGCCTGCTCAGTGAGTTTACATGTTAGAGGGAGTGGGGTATAGTGACACAGTAACAGAGGGATTGAGTGCCCTGCTCAGTGAGTTTACATGTTAGAGGGAGTGGGGTATAGTGACAGTAACAGAGGGATTGAGGGCCTGCTCAGTGAGTTTACATGCTAGAGGGAGTGGGGTAAAGTGACACAAAAGTTAAGGATAGTATTAGACTAGTGACAGTTGCAAGAGAGGAATCAGTCGGGAGCTATTAACAGTTTAATTGATACGCTTTTTTGAAGAAGTGGGTTTTTAATAATTTTTTTGAAGGAGTGGGAAACTGGGTGAGCAGAGGAGGGAAGTGAGTTCCACAGGAACGGTCCAGCGCTCGCGAAGTCTTGAAGGCGAGCATCAGAGGTGGGAGTACGGACAGAAGATAGACGTAAGTCTTCAGCAGATCGTAAGAGCCTAGACGGGACATACTTGTGTATTAGGGAGGCTAGATAGTTGGGAGCAGCATTATGTAGAGATTTGAACGCAAGAACCAGAATTTTAATTGAGTCCTATATCTTACAGGAAGTCAATGTAGGGACTGACAGAAGAGTGAGGCGTGGGAGGTGCAGGCAGACAGGAAGATGAGCCTCGCCACCTCATTCATTATGGACTGTAATGGCGCAAGTTGGGAGCACGTAAGATCACTGAGAAGCAGATAACAGTAGTCAGTGGAATGGACCAGCACCTTCGTCGCATCTGCTGTTGAGTAGGATCGGATGCGCGCTATGTTTTGATAAAGCAGTGAATGTTTGATCTTGGTGACAGTGTGCTCTTTGCTGCTATTTAGAATTGATTTATGGCTATCAGTTCCCAATACTAGTGCTGTTTGACACCGGCACAATCAGGACAGAATTTACAGGGTGAAGTTATGGTGGTAGATAAAGGTATTTTAGCCCAGAACGTTACCAGTAAGACGTAGATGGAACAATGAGCTGCTGGCCATGGAAGAAGTCCAGATTCACCATATAATTATAAGGAGGTAATGATCCTGTGGACAGAATTCATTGGCTGTAATGTTTATCCATGGGCACCGGAATTCCCCAACCCCCCGTCCCCCCATCCCAAAATACAAACCAGGTCTAGGAAAGCAGAGGAGAGAATAATCATAAACACAACAATTTCATACCAACTTCAACATAATTATACAAGACAAAGTGAGTGTGTGTATGTAGATATATAATTCTATGCTGGGCAATAACTGTTCAGGATGGAGAAGGATTCATGCACTGCATAGCGTGATCGTGGGGACAAACCACTGGCCACGTAGAGAACTACACTAGATCCATTGTTGAAGGACCCTTCCTCTTACCTTTTCTAATTGAACCATTAGCCGCTAAGTTACTGTTTGACCTGAATGCTAAGGGGCATCATTTAACGCATTCATAAGAAAATCGCTGTGTCCAGGGGCAGGGTGGGGTGGCTCCGCGTGTGAGTGGGGGAGTGACCGGGGGGGGGGGGCTGTTATGAGACATTTTAGGTGATTTACTAATTACAATTTATGGAAGTAGAGCAATGTATCTTATTTACACAGACTGATTTCCAGACACGTTTATTGTAGACCCATTACTGGGAGTAGGGCCGGCGCTACCATAAGGCGGCACAGGTGGCTGCCGTACAGTGCACTGACCCAGGGGGGCGCAGGGTTTGGGTGACTGGTAGGAGAGTGCAATACTGCGTTTCCCTCCTGCCGGTTTCTGTATGTAGCGTCGCCGAGCCGCGGGAGAGGAGCTTGTTCCACTCTCCCCAGTCTGACAGGAATCAATTACTGAGCGTGCAGAACTGCTTCCTGTCAGACTGGGAAGAAGGAAACTAGCTCTCCCGTGGTCTGCAATACCTCTACGGGATTCATACTTGGTTTAGGGTGCATATTCGAGGTCACCCTTGCCCACGTTCTGAGCTCTTTCATGTAGGATCCATCTTGCCTGTTTATCACATTTTGGGTCCTGTATAAAAAACCATTCTCCTGCAGAGTTTTTTATATTGTTTATATTATTGCATTAAATCAGTCTCTTGCTTAGACATTAAATGCCACCACTCCCTTACCAAGTGCAAGCGCGATCCCTTATGTATATTAATGTTCTCCCATGAAAGGTTTATGTGGCATTTATGACAAACATCCTAGTTTGGAGCCTTTCCTCTGACCGTATTAATTCTCCTGCAGGCTCTGTATCTGAACCCATTGTTTGAAAACTTCCTCCCATTTTAAACTCCCATGGGTGGGATTCCCGCGCTCTGTGTGGCTCATAGAATCTGGAGCTCTAATGTGGAGCTTCCTGTGGAGCCTTTAAATGTGGCTCCTCGACTGAAGTTCACGCTTTACTTCTTAACCCTTTGATAATGTAAATATACCCACTGTAAGATATAATTGTGCAAATTAAAGGTCTCAAATTTGCTTCTCCTCTCACAGGAGATATGAGTCACCCGTAAATTTGTTATGGTGTATCGTTGCGTGGATACAGACATTCTGAGTGAAGAGAATTTCCCTTTTAATTCATGTATTTATTTCTCATTTTACAAAAAATGCAGATTTTAATAAAAACTATAAATTAACATTGTTACACCACCCTCCCCCACAGCTGTTAATCAGACACCTGGTCCTGTTACTTCCTGGTATGGTTTGATCAGTGGAAATAAACTAGCTGCAGTGGACAGTCAATGAGATTGGGTGGGGATAGAAGGGAAGGGCTTGTAAAGTCTGCAGACAAGAGATCTACAGCGTCTGCAAGCTGATATACACCCAAAGGGGAAAAAATGCATAATTAAATGCATAGTGAAAAAAGTGATAAATGCTCTCTATCCAATAAAGCAGCTATTCACCAAGGAGTTCCTTTTACCTTGTGAACAATAGAACAAAACAAGCTACTAAATTAGGTGGACAGCGCTAAGAATTATTATAATAAAATCATACATACAAAAGGTAGCAGCAGATTTCGCAATTATGTTTCTTACTCTAAAAAACTATCTACAATGATAGTGCAGTATGTTATGAATAATATGGTGATAAAGATATATTCCAAAGGGGCACTCACGTTTTCCAGAGCTTAAAAAAACTCTCTTTTAGGAGCCTGGATGGAACAATCCCCGTCTAAGGATTTCTTTCTGCTGGTATCAGATTCCCAAGGTAGTGCGGTTCATCATATGAAAAAAATAAGGATGTATACCAATGGTACAGTACGTATGTAAAAGTAGGATAAGTAAATAATATTAGACCTACTTACATTTGCTAGAGCAATGACCTGCTCTAGTGTATGGAGCTATAGGTGGAACAATCCCCACCTAGGGATATATGTAGATCCGGACTAGCAGAGTGATGGTGAGAGTATAAGGAGCTCAAGAGTGACTCGGTATTAAAACAGAATCTTTATTAACAAACAGAATTAATAAAACTATTTTCACTTTTGAGAAAGCTGTAAGCGAAACATGGCAAGTGGCGATTAAGGATTGCCTACAAGGACTGGTTTTATTTATAGTTCTTTTTACTATATAGTTCTCACCATCACTCTGCTGTTCCGGATCTACATATATCCCTAGGTGGGGATTGTTCCCCCTAAAGCTCCGTACACTAGAGCAGGTCATTGCTCTAGCAAATGTAAGTAGGTCTAATATTATTTACTTATCCTACTTTTACATATGTATTGTACCATTGGTATACATCCTTATTTTTTTTCATATGATGAACCACACTACCTTTGGGAATCTGATACCAGCAGAAAGAAATCCTTAGACGGGGATTGTTCCATCCAGGCTCCTAAAATAGAGCTTTTTTTAGCTCTGGAAAACGTGAGTGCCCCTTTGGAATATATCTTTATCACCATATTATTCATAACATACTGCACTATCATTGTACTTTTATTTCTTTTTTTTAAGAGTAAGACACATAATTGCGAAATCTGCTGCTACCTGGTATGTATGATTTTATTATAATAATTCTTAGCGCTGTCCACCTAATTTACTAGCTTATAATTAAATGCATTCATGCTTTTTTGGGAATATATCGACTAAACGGTAAGTATTTTTTATTTGGGCAGTGGAGTGTCCCTTTAACTACTAGTGTCAATTCATATTTAAATTTCTGATATATTTTGCATAGATATCAATTAAAGATAATATGCAAAATGGCATCACAATAGCAAATTCAATATCTATCAGTTAGTTATGTTTGTGTGAATATTTATTTTTTGTTGTAGTTTCTGTTTGGTATCTGTAATTTTACTTGCTGGGGGCTTAAATGAAACAATTTGTGTCTTATATTTTTTATGCTGGATTATTGCATAATCCGTTTTTAGAAGGAATCTCTCTAAAGTTTCCGTGTCCAGGAATAGTTTCTTGATATGAAGTCACGGAAAGACTCCTATTCCCTCTCCTCATTAGTCCTGGAAGTTTTTTGCCGGCATATTGAGACCTGTTCTCCGGATAAATGGTGTCTGGGGACCTAGTAATCATGTCTGGCTTTGCAGACGTGCTCACCTGAGATTTAATTGTCAGCTCTGTTCCCAGAGGACGTGTCTGATGTGTGCACCGGGACAGCCAAAGGCCAGTAAACAACATAAACTTTCCAAATGGCGATCACCATGCAACAATATCTTTGACTTTGAGAAAACAAATTGCGAGTGCGTGTGTATACATAAATATTACGCACACTGGGTTATTCACTAAAATGAGATTTGTGGGAAATTTAAACTGAACTTTACATTTTAGTCCAATATCTATGATGGGTAAATGTATATTTAAAAAAAAATAAAATATGGCGACCGTTCTGAACGGTGCACCCCAGGATAAAGCCCTGCAATCCCCCCAATAACTTGTGATGAACACGCCAGGGCCAGCTCGCTGGCTGAGAGTGACGGAGTCCTTGACCTACTAGTTATCTAATATTTTAATTTCTATGACCTCTGCCATGAGGTTTTACCACCTTTCATTTAGCCCACGGCCACCTCCACTTGCAACTCACGGTTATCCGTCAACACTTGACTCACCTGTTCTTGTGTATATGCAGATAATTCAAAATGTTTTTTTTTTTTTTTTTTTTTTTAATATACCTTTTTAATAAAAGTTATTTTCAATATTTGCATTTTATTCTGCAGCCCATTTAGCTGTATAGGTTTATATACTGTAAAGGCTTCATGTTTACGAATAGATTTCTCATACTGTAGAAGGGTTCCCCTCTTTCACCCTGCAAGAAACAATATTGTTACATTATTTAAAAGAACCAATATATTTTTCAGCGCTGTACATTGACCGGGACTATTAAAAATAAAATACTAATTGTAAACCAAGCCACCCAGGTTTGACCAGGAAACTGTAGGTCTATGGAAGTATTGCGTATATAGAAAATTTTCAGGGTCATCAAATCGGGAGCAGAATTAAAGACCTCCTTTCAAAAACCAACACTGTAGTCTTTAGTTCCCTTTATGAAACTTTTACTCCCAAATTCTTCAATTTTTAATATTTTACAAATGTTTCAATAGGGTCCGAAAAACTTTCTAGATTACTTCTCTACGGAGGTCACCAATAAAGTCCATGGGGATTTTTGTAGATAAATCAGTTCTTTTAACAGATTGTTCTCATTGGAAAGCTTATTAAATCTATGGAGATGATCCTCTTCGAGTTAGAAATAAAACGTAATCTGTACTTTGATGTTTATAAATTAAACTCGGGAATTGTGAGAACGTGACGTGTTTTTTAGAAGACAAAGAATTGTTCCGGCTGTGCACAATGCCAATAGTGTTCAATGTGCCCAATAGCAGTACTGTATGAGGGATCAATAAATCGGGCTCTAGCTTGTTTCTCCAGTACTGCCTCTCCGCTTTTGTGGTTATTGTGGCGTCCATAACCAGGATGATTTCAGTGCTTTGCTGTATGTAAATGGCAAGAAGAGCTTCTCCGAACAAACCCGCTTGTTAAAAGGCTGCAGCTTTTCTATAAAGCCCTATTCTCTTCGCATTCATTTTATGTATAATTAATGCCAACCTCGGAGAATAACAACATTTGGTGTTCTAACGGTTTGTTCTTTAGCCAATATTCTATTCACATTTGTCATTTTCTAGGAAACTAAAAAAAATAAAAAAAATAACTACGTATTACCTCCAGCGCTCGGTATTTGCAGTTTAAATTAATTTCTGTAGCAGATTGACCAAGCTACTTTTTCAGTTTACCTCACTGAACGCTAGTGGCCTGCATTCAAGCAGGATGTATGCCACGTTTTACTTTTTGTAACTTTGTCCAATTCCTTCAGGCATTATTTCAATCATTTTATTTAACATTTTTTCCTATGTCTTTTCTTGGCTTACTGTTTTTGTGTCCTTTTCAGTGACTTCTTGGCTTACGGAGATAGTTGGCTAACTGGAAAGTTAATTTTAAACCTTATTTGCACAGACTGATTAAACACGTTTTACTGATTTAAAGGGACACTCCATGCATGGAGTGGATTACAGCCATCTGCCTGCCATCCAAATAAACTGTACAGCGAGCACGGAGCGTGTAGGAGCCGCCACTCTCTGACCTGCGCACGTTAACTGTGACTCGTTCAATAGGCCACAAACTGCTCTGCCACGGCTGCTATCAGATTATTCAAAGGTTACTTTACTGCAGGTTGGTTCACTATATTCCCACCCACCCCAGACATGGGACTTGCTTTCACTTTTAATGTATGACCACTGACAAGATTTAATGTATTTATAGTTTTATAAAAAGTCACATTTTAAAGTGACCATTCCTGAACTTCTCTCCCCACTTTGGGTAGGATTTGTGCCTCTTCCTAAGGTTTTATTCATCACCGTGCTTAGAATTACCGCTTCTGTTTGGATGCTCATTCACGGGTGAAGCGGTGTTGCAGGTATTGTCTGTGCTGCAGATTATATTAATATAATCATGCATTGTACGTGTCATGGAGCCTGCAGAAATGCCCACCTTTTATAATGTGCTTCTAAAACAGAGAGAAGTACATTTGCAATATTTTCACAAGTTTACCCCCTGCAGTAGTGGTTGGGAAGGGCCATTTTTACTCTGGTGTGGAATGTTTAACACACCTGTTTAGGTCCGTTTCTCTCCTGTTTCCACTCTCTATTGTTCCTGAATACCTGGCCAATGCCCCCTGCCCATATTTTATCACTTTCCTAGTAAAGAATAGTGTATGCCAACACCCAGCCCAACAAACTGTTCTTATTCTTTGTAATATGTTGATGTCCAAACCGCACAAAGTGATGAGCCCTAACCTGTGTACTCCACACATGTCTGTATCCATTGTACAGTGCTAAAGAATCGGATGGCACTATATAAATAATACAATAATAATGTATTCCACAAATCTTAAGGTCACCTGAGCATTGTGTGAAACATAGTTAACAAACCTCTGTTGTGCCACGGAAAGACACGACTATACCAAATACAGAGCACAGGATATCTGCACATTTTATTAAAGGGATGCTCTATGCACCAAAACCTCTTTAGCTTAACTGTGACTGACACTGCCTGCTTTTTATAATTTTTTTTCAAACAGATCTTACAGCACAGTGTTCGCTAAATCGGCAAAGGTAACAGAATTATCTGTGTCTTGCTCTGTTGCACTTTAAACACACACAGGAGACCTCTGCAGAGTCTAACAGGCAATTAGAGAAGGAGATACAGTCTTATTTAACCCCATAAGGACACGACATGTGTGACATGTCATGATTCACTTTTATTCCGGAAGTTTGGTCCTTAAGGGGTTAAACACACTATGCAGTAAGGAAAGCTAAAAAAAAAGAAATGTCACGGAGAACGCATTAAATTTGTAAACAGAGGTGTACACACACCACACACCACCACCACCACCCCCGGTTTACGGAATTAATGCATTCTCCGGGACATTTCTTATTGCGAAACATTTGTAAACCGAAACGCGGTTTCGTATAGGAATTGAATAAATCAGGAAGTGTGTAGGAAGGCTGTACGAGCCGGAGACATTTTTGGCATAAGTTGTTTTGGTTCTTAGTGTCCCAATTACATGTGGATTGCTATTTCCATCCAGTTCATTCAAAGACAGAGATGATGATGATATCAAAATCTTGACATCTCTTAATGTTTGGCACCCGCAGGAGTCTGCTGTCCCAGTTAGGTGAACGGAAACCCCAGTGCTGTGATTTTGGGAGCATGCGATGTCTCATTTAATTAAAGGGTGGATATTCTGTAATGACTTCATTCCAGTGTTTCAGCAACAAAAAAAGCTTAATAGTCCTAATTTTGGTAAATTAAGCTGCGCGTTCTGCTGAGACCATTTCAAAGTGCAGCATCGTAGCTGTTTTGTGTTGATCGTTGTTGTGTACAAACATGGGGGGGGGGTCATTCTTTAACCCCTTAAGGACCAAACTCCTGGAATAAAAGGGAATCATGACATGTCACACATGTCATGTGTCCTTAAGGGGTTAAACTCTGCAGTGATTTTCAAAACAAACTGAATAATTTCAGCAAAAGTTGCAGATTGATAGTCACGTTTTTGGCTATTTTATCGTAAATTCTTCAACTATATTTTCCATTTTACACTTTAAATGGACCCATAACAGTTGTATAAATATTTTGTTTATGTCTTTATTTTGTGATTGAGAAATGTAGAGTTAGTGTAACACATTCCTCCTCACCTTTCGGTATTTGCCGGCCGCTACGGATCCATGCCAAATTATAACCCCACGTCGCCAGGGCCAGATTAAGAGCACAGTGGGCCTGGTGCTGACAATTATGACTGGGCCTAATTACAGAATCATATCGACCAAAAACAGTAAAACACTCCCAAGCGTCATGTATCTGATGGAGATGGTGCTGGAGAGAAAGAAAACAGCAGCGATAAGAAAATACATACCTTATGCTAATATCTCTCTAATTTATGTTTTCATCTTTCAAGTAAATCCATAACCCCTAACAGCAGTGTCCAGTCAGGCAGGAAGTCAATGGGCATGGTAAAAGGGTGTGCCACTGACACAAATCACGTAACCTGCAAAAGGGCGAACATGCCCAAAAAGAGGACATGTCTGCCCAAAGAATTAGAAGGCCAGCCAGGCATGAATGCATGTCAGGCTGCCTGCCAATCATGCAGCTGGCCAACTAAGCGCATACTATGCAGACAGCACCCTGAGCTTGGCATAAATGCATCCAATGATGCGCTCGCTCAACGCTTTCTAAGGACTGTCCCCTAGCACTCGCTGGTCCACTTGTCTCCTTACCTTCTTACTAGCAGGCAGAAGCTCCTGGTATATAGTCTGGGACAGAGAAAATCTGTATGTAGTGAGTGTAGAAGAAAGGGAACATGCCACAGTGTTAGAGAGACCAAAGTCAGCATTACCTTAAAGGATCACTATAGGGTCAGGAACACAAACATGAATTCATGACCCTACAGTGTTAACACCACCATCTAGCCCCCCTGGGCCACTCATGCCTCCATAAATATAACAAAATCTTACTATATTCAAGCCTGAAGCTGTAACTCTGCATGCTATTAGACTCCTAAAAACAAGCAGTCTGCTGATATCATTAGAAGTGGTGGCCTGATCCAATCACAGTGCTTCTCCATAGGATTGGCTGAGACTGACAAGGAGGCAGATCAGAGTTAGAGCCAGCATGATTCAAACACAGCCCTGGCCAATCAGCATCTCCTTATAGAGATGAATTGAATCAATGAATCTCTATGAGGAAAGTTCAGTGTCTGCATGCAGAGGGAGGAGATACTGAATGTTTGGATGCATTTTAGGCAGCCATGACCCAGGAAGGATCTCTAACAGCCATCTAAGGAGTGGCCAGTGAAGTTATCATTAGGCTGTAATGTAAACAATGCATTTTCTCTGAAAAGACAGTGTTTACAGCAAGAAGCCTGACGGTAATGATTCTACTCACCAGAACAAATTCAATAAGCTGTAGTTGTTCTGGTGACTATAGTGTCCCTTTAACTATATTCATTGTCAGCCAGTCCACACACGTTTTGTTCCCATACATCCCTCTTAAGTTTCCATACTTAAGTAAGAGTATGTGAAAAGTAGTTAGGGTTGCCACCTTTCTTGGAAAAAACAATTTGCATAATTAAATATGTATGGGTGACATCACATGATGTAAATCACAAGGAGTGACATAAGAGAAATGCTGTAAAATCACCAAAAAACTACTTAGTTTGATTCTGCTGTATAAATGGATTCCTCCCAGTGCCCCATGTCTCCCAGTGTCCCCTAGTGTCATGTCCCCAGGTCTCCCAGTGATCCTATGTATCACAGTGTCTCAATGCCCCATGTATCCCAGGGTCCCCATGTCACTAGGACACTAGGAAGAGGGGGAGACCTAGGGACATGGAGACACCAGTGACACTGGGAGACTAGGGGACTCTGGCTGGGACACATGGGGACAATGGGAAAATAGGGGACACTTGAAGACATGGGGACACAGACACCAGGGACACAGACACTAGAGACACTGGTTGAGGGACATGGGGACATTGAGACATGGGGGCACTGGGAGACATGGGGACACAGACACCAGGGCCACAGACACTAGCTTGGAGACATGGGGACATTGTGACACTTGAGGCACTGAGAGACATGGAGACACTAGGATACGTGGGGACAGTGAGACACTGGCAGACTGGGGGCACTGGGAGATTAGGGGGCACTGAGACACCAGGGACACTGGCTGGGAGACATGGGGACACTGTGTCCCCATGTGTCTGTGTCATAATGTCTCCCAATGTCCCTTAGTGTCTCAGTGTATGTCTCCTTGCAGCCTTTCCCCCCATCCCTTACGTCCCTGAGCTGTAGGCTGTCTCTGCAGGGTGGGAGTTGCTGTCTGGACTCTCTGTAGCTGCACCCCTGCAGATCAGTGAGTATAGATAGGCAGGGAGGGATATGCTGGAACTTCCTATCCCTGCCTGTCTCCACATGCAGCGACCCCTACTGGCATAGTAATCTCCTGTTTATACTGGGAAAAATACCAGCATTTGTATTGCCAGTATCACTGCAATATTGGCACCAGCCAGGCAGCCTCAAATACTGGCTGTGCCAATAAAATAAAATAAAAGCCAGGTGGAATCCCTAAGAGTAGTGTGTGGGGGGGGGGGGAATATATATATATATATATATTTTTTTTTAACTCAATGGGCCTATTCCATGGGCCTGGGCCTGGGCCTGGAGCTGCAGCTCCATCAGCCCCTATGTTAATCCGGCCCTGCACGTCGCTGACGGCATGCGCGCAAGCACGATTTGGGGTCAAAGGCTGTTTTCGCCCAATTAGATCTGTAATACACTTATTTACGCAAATGTACTTTTCCTCATTGCCCTGTCGTGGTTTCCCTTAGTGCTTGTCTGAGAGTGTGTTCCTGAGCATTTTATTTCTGGTTAATGACTTTGGCTTTGTTTTGACTAATCTGTATTCTGGTATCCCTGACTTCTGGCTTTCCCTTATCGTTGTGTCCCATTCCATGTCCCCGACCTTGGCAAGTATTCTGACTATTTTTTGGTACATTAAGTCGGGCCATTCTAAGGCCCGGGAAGACGTTCTCTTTTAGTCCTAGGTGTGATACCGTTCTATGTGCTGGATCAACAAGTAATCCTGACAAACAGCTGGTATAAGTGACTGTCGTCCAAAAACCCTAATTTATAATATATATTGCCCTGAGCCATGGTGAGGAGGAGACTTCCTGATGTGTCCCAGAGAAGCAGAAGTGGGCAATATCATTCATACATACATACATACATACATACATACATACATACAATTCCATAGGTATTGCTGGATTTCTAGAACCCAAACATTTTTGCAACTCTTCCTCAAAATGCATAAAGTATCTGAGCAACGACTATAGTGAAACTGGGAAGTGATCTAATTGTGTGTAATTATATATTTTTATTTTGCAATCCCCAGTCATTTTTGTGTACATCTGTACTGTACAATAATGTGCTATATATGAGAATAAAAAGATGTGAATATCCGATAAAAGACCTAACGCAACCAATGCATTGCGCTTAGTTAGAGCCTGTCACTATTCTATATGACTTCTAGCCAACCAGAACTGGCTATGTACTAAAGATGGCGCAGTATTCAGAAATATTTAGTTTTATTGGTTTTCATGGTGGCCTCCCCTTATGTACAATTTTAGAACCACTTCTTTTATTTATTTATTTTATTTTTTTAGTATCCAAAGTCCACAATATTTCTGTTAAATCCATGGAAGTTTGTCTGACTTTTTTTTTTTTATTTATTTTTTTTAAATTTGTGAATTGTGTTGTCTGCGATAACGTAGCACTGTTGCAATGCATTACGGCGAGGTTGCCAAGGCGCGATGGGCTAATGATACTTTGTGGTCACTGTGGGTTCTATGACAAACAGATCAGTGAAGAGCACGGTTGCACGGTGCATGGACAGTGAATGTGAGGCTGTGTTTGTAAGCCACGGCACGCTTTCTGACGTAATCTAGAAGAAGTGGATTTGGTGGCTGCCTGATCTTGCTGCTTCCTGCCGCTCTGTGCTGTAGGAGATCGCATTTTATTTTACTTCACTATAAACTCCAAGGAGGACATCTGTGCCTTCTCGGTTTGTCAGCACTCTGTGCACAATAGGAATCGTTGCACTTGTGCTGCAGATTCCACGACTTGGAAAACTGTCTCGATATTATTTTTTTGCATGATCTGTGCTTTTTGTGACTGTCTAAATCCAGCTCTATGTGTATTCCAATGGCTTTGAAAGGAGAACAAAGAAATAAATTCTGTTTCTTGGAAGTGAATCCATGGATATTTGTTCCCACATTCATTTCCTCTGCCTCAATCCAAAGAGTAATTGGTGAGGCTTCTTCCCTTTATTAAAAATCGCAGAGAGTGGGGTTGGTGTGCAACACAAGAGGAGAGGAAACTTTTTTAAAAATAACAACTATTTCCTTTTCCCCCTTCCTTTTCCCCCCTTCCTTTTCCCCCCTTCCTTTTCCCCCCTTCCTTTCCCCCCCTTCCTTTTCCTTTTTTCCCTTTTCCCTTCCTCCTTTTCCTTTTTTCCCTTTTCCCTTCCTCCTTTTCCCTTCCTCCTTTTCCCTTCCTCCTTTTCCCTTCCTCCTTTTCCCTCCCTCCTTTTCCCTCCCCCCTTTTCCCTCCCCAGCACTTTCCCTCCTTTTCCCCTCCCCTTTTTCCCTCCCCACTTTCCCTCCCAGCACTTTCCCTCCCAGCACTTTCCCTCCCCAGCACTTTCCCTCCCAGCACTTTCCTCCTTTCCACTCCTTTTCCTCCCCAGCACTTTCCTCTGTACTTTCCTCCCCAGCCTTTCCTCGCCCAGCCTTTCCTCATTGCTTTTCCTCGCCCTTTTCCCGCAAGCCCTTTTCCTGGCCCTTTTCCTAAGCCCTTTTCCATCCTTTTTCGTACTTTCATTCTTTTCCTTTTCCCTTCTTTCCTTTCCTTTCCCAGCTAACACTCCTTTCCTTCCCCAGCCCTATTTTCCATGCCTTCACCTTCTTTTTTATTCCCAGCACTTTCTTCCCAGCCTATTTCAGCACTTTCCCCTTTTCCTTTCCTGGCACTTTCCTCCTTTTCCCAGCACTTTCAGCTTTCCCCCCTTTTCCCTTCTTTTCTCTTCCCTTCTTTTCCAGCCTCCCCTTTCCCCTTCCTTTCCCCCCCTCTTTTCCTTTCCCCTCTTTCCTTTTCCCCTCTTTTCCCTTTCCCCCTCTTTTCCCTTTCCCCCTCTTTTCCCTTTCCCCTTTTCCCTTTCCCCTTCTTTTCCCTTTCCCCCTCTTTTCCCTTTCCCCCTCTTTTCCCTTTCCCCTTTTCCCTTCTTTCCCTTTTCCCCATTTCCCCCTTTTTCTTTCCCCCTTTTCCCCTTTTCTCCTTTTCCCTTTCTTCTTTCATTTTCCCCATTTCCCCCTTTGTCTTTCCCCCTTCTTTTCCCCTTTTCTCCTTTTTCTTCTTTCATTTTCCCCATTTCCCCCTTTGTCTTTCCCCCTTCTTTTCCCTTTCCGCCTTCATTTCGTTTCCCCCTTCTCCCCTTTTCCCTTTCCTCCTTTTCCTTTCCCCTTTTCCTTTCCCTTTTCCCTTTCCCCCTTTTCCCTTTCCCCCTTTTCCCCTTCCCCCTTCTTTTCCCCTTCCCCCTTCTTTTCCCAATAGGACAGTGCTTGTGATGCACAGCAAAAGTGAAATTGTGTAACTATACATAAAGCAATTGATAATGCTAAATTTTACGTGAAATGCGTTTGGCAGTAATTGAGAGCATATTTACCAGAGGAGTGGTAATGATCGAGCGACGCGAAATACTTCCGAAATTCGCTCGTAAAGCATTTGTTAGACTGAAGGACGGCAAACACTGTGGTGTAAAGATTCTAAACACAACACAGGTTGCGCCAAATACGGAGTCCAAAGTATGCTTGAGATATTCCTGGTTGTTCACCGGCTGGGCTTCAGAGTGCTTGAAGATAGATATTAAAACAGAAACTCACATTTGATAGAGCAGTAGACCCTGCTCAAGTATAAGCGCGTGGGTGGTCTAATCCCCATCAGGGATATAATGTTAAGTTATCCTATCCAGGGATAAGATGCAGAAGGTTCATCAAGGATGATCGATGTGCCAGGAACAATAAAAGCTAAAACTACTAAAAAGTGTAAAATGGACAACCACAATTAAAAGGTGAATGCCAAATCTACTTTAATGCTATAAACATGTTAAAATATATATATATAAACGCATTTCACCAGAAATTCTTCTGAGACCTTGCACACATGGTCATAGAGTAAATAACAATTCAAATGTACAGAAATTGGAGCCAAAATGGCGTCCTATTTGACCTTTGGCCTCCACTAAGGTCACATGATGATTTGCAAAGGTTAAAATACATATTTCTGTAATAGTTAAGGAGAAAACCATAAAAACATGATATAACCTTAAACTGCTCCCTGGTGGGGATTATACCACCCAAGTGCTTATACTTGAGCGTGTTTACTGCTCTACGAAATGTGAGCTTGCATATTCTTATCGCTTCTCCTATTTTGTGTATTAAAGGACCACTATAGTGCCAGGAAAACACACTCGTTTTCCTGCCATTATAGTGCCCTGAGGGTGCCCCCACCCTCAGGGTCCCCCTCCCGCCCGGATCTGGGGAGAGGAAAGGGGTAAAAACCTACCTTTTTCCAGCGCCGGGCGGGGAGCTCTCCTCCTCCGATCCTCCTCTTCTCAAGAGCTGCGCGCGCATTCAGCCGGTCGCATAGGAAAGCATTCATAATGCTTTCCTATGGACGCTGGCTTGCTCTCACTGTGAAAATCACAGTGAGAATCACGCAAGCGCCTCTAGTGGCTGTCAATGAGACAGCCGCTAGAGGAAATAGGGGAAGGCTTAACCCATTCATAAACATAGCAGTTTCTCTGAAACTGCTGTGTTTATGAAGAAAACAATGGGTTAATCATAGCTGGACCTGGCACCCAGACCACTTCACTAAGCTGAAGTGGTCTGGGTGCCTAGAGTGGTCCTTTAAGGACTGATTTAAAGACCGATTGATCGTCTGGGAATTAACTTAGACGTTTAGTTAATTTCTCTTTTTTGCTGTTCACCACCAACACGGTCCTTATATTGATTTATTGCCTTTTATTAAAGGCTGAACTGGGGGGAGGGTAATATTGCTGCAAATAGGCCTGACATTTAGCCTAACGTCACACTGCAAGGCAGCTGATACAGACACGTAATGCTGCTGCAAGGGGTCTTTATCACAGAGCAATGGCTCTGTTTAACGTCTGTGTTTATACCATAGCTCAGTCTCCATTCTGTTGGGTTTCTGTCTGTCTGTCTGTCTCTTCTCTCTTCTCCCCCTTCCACCCCCTCCACCTTGGCCATACAGAGCGTGATTAGCAGGTCTGATTGCTGGGACTTAAGTCAAAGCACAATTGTCATTATCACTTTGCATTTGTGTATTTATGAATATTCATTCCTTTTTCTGTTTGTGTGTTTTACATCATATTATATCTTAAAGCAGCCGTAATGTGAAAGATTTACACTTGCTGAGAATCCTAGCGGTCAGTCCCTAGCGTCCTATGAGGACAGACCTCCCTTTAACCTTCATTTAATCCCCACCCTTTGCTGTCTCCCTGTTGTAATCTTTCCGCTTTCTTATAAAATCAGAATCATTACTGCGTCACTGTTCTTTGTTGCCATTTGAAACTTGCCCATTGGATGGCTACGTTTTAAATGTACGTAAATTGCACCAGCCAAATTGTTGGACAATCAACGTATGCGTTATTGAATAAGACTTAGATTTGCATTGCTGTGATATCGGCCAGGTTAAATGCTTAAGCAGGGGTGGGGAACCTTCGGCACTCCAGGTGTTTTGGACTACATCTCCCATAACGCTAGCAAAGCATTAAGGGAGATGTAGTCCACATCTGGAGGGCTGAAATCAGACAGTTGGACGTACAGGAAAAGAGAGGTGGAGGGCCCTGCTCAATGAGCTTACATTCTAGAGTGATGGAGGTATATTTCTAGATTAGGAGTTCAAATTTTACATATTTTATTTGATAGGTACTCATAAAAATTCATGCAATTAAAACTCTGATTGTATATTTTTAAAAACTGAATAAATAACTGAGTGTTGGGATGTAAATCCGAGCGATGGGTAGGAGAGCATCCACCTCTGCGTCTAAATTTAGATCATGGCTCCAATGATTAACTTGTGTCCTTCGTTATCCGTTTTAAATTTAATTTGCACAAGAAGCGCATCATTAGTAAAGATCGTTAACATAAAAACATGTGGTTCCAAAAGCTTAGTCTCTAATCCACTCTTTTTGACAATGACCCAAATTAGATCAATGGCGTTGGTTTGGAGACCCCCTTCTTCCATTGTAACAGAACATATGTCACAATGAACAGGAAACACACATTGTCTCCTCTCTGTATCAAATGGCTCTCCGCTGCATTGGGTAAAATCTATTGTGGGGCGTTGCCTTCGGCCTAGTGTGGTCTTCCAAGCAAATGCATTGTGGTCAGAATTGTGGCCCCGACACAGAGGTTTAAGGAAGATTATAGCGTTGGGAATACAAACGTGTATCGACTGCTGTAGTGTCTTCTCACTATTTAAATTTGAGGACCATCCAGCAGATGTCGCTTCTTGTTTCGTCTAATGCAGCTCGGATGAAAGCACATGTGCGGCAAATCGGCAACTGCCACGCGTGTTCAATCAAATGCTTCCAACTCGGTTATAAGCATTTATTATTTGATGGGCTCTTGGCTGATTTATTTAAACTTGTACTTTGCATTTAATAGAACATTTCCAGAATCCAGACTGGGATGGGAAAGGTTATTAAGGTGTTGGTGATCACCCAAATTAATCAGATTATTACATGGGGTCTTTAATGGAAAAAACCTTCCAAGTTAATGATTCTTGGATTAAAATCTGAGCCTTCAGTCTGGATGTTCATGGAAGAATAAACATATTAAAGTGTTTTTATTTTGTGGCCTGTGTTTTGCTAAAACATTCAGAAACCCGTTTTAATAAATTCGCATTGGGCGGACAAATGGTAGGAATTCCAGCAAAGTATTGATCAGTCTGTGTGAATGGTGCTCTGCCTATCCCGCATATACAAATCCATTTCACATGCCAACAGATCTCGCTGACTTCTCTGCTTCGTTTAATACAACCTTAATCTGATTATATTGTCCCCATATCCTCCTCCTCTCAAATAGAACTCCCCAAAAGGATTTAATTAAAATTAAATTTTTTTGTTGTTGTTGTCTTGGATTTTAAATCCTTTTTGGAAGGAAGTTCACAATCTTTCCCCAACACAAACAAAACTAAATGCTGAGATTTGTGCGTTGGAAAGAGCAGATGTTCGATATTTACTTTGGGAATAGAACGCCTTCCACACTGGTTACATTGAGCATTCCAGCTTTCTGAGTTTGTCTTGCTGGCTCTGTGCATCACTCCCACTTTTATGAAAGATCGAGTATCTTGCAGTTCAGCGATTAGTCCATGAATGTGCTGCTGTTTTCTTAGAATAAACTTTCATCGGCGATGGAAGTGTTAATTGACTCATAGTGGCTGCATTGATGTAACCCCATACCCCCACGTGTACTTAAACTTCATATAAACGCTCCGTGTGATTTCCACTTTATACAGGATTTTTTTTTCTGTATTTTGTTTATAACGACTCTGGAGGGAAATCCCCAGGATGGAGTAACCGGGGTCCCACATCGTGAATATTAATTAATTGCTGGACGTACGAATTTATTCGATCAGCAAACCACAGACGGATCGGTTCGTTCGTTCATTCAGTGATTAATAGTAATTTGATTTGTGAAGCTGGTCGGGGTTTGTGAGCAAGTCTAATATTTTCTTCCTCCAGAGCTGGGCGTTATTTTGTTGCACTGTAGACCATCCCTAGCGTGTTTATTTCATTGTAAAGTTTACATCTGTTAAACCATTTCCTTGTAGCGGTTCTCTGACCGTGACCTGAAATCCCCTCTTGTTTTGCCATCTGGGCAGCGTGGTGATTGTCTACGAGATGCTGTAAGGGAGGGCTGCAAGCCGTGTTATTGCTGGACAGTGTCTGAGTGCTAAACAGATCTCATGGTAGGCTGGCAGAATTCTGCTCCCTACACCCTCAGCCAGCCAAAACAATGTGTGAAAACATTACCTTCCAAATAGCAGGAGACTTGCTTTAGAAACAGTCTGGGCTCCAGCTGTGATTCTGCTGAACAGACCCTGAAATTTGGGGAGCTCTGTGTCACCCATGATTATTTATTTGCCAGTCCTGTCTCAAGGTGACATGATTTACCACAATCAAACCGTAAGGGGGCAGGCGATGGGGGAACAGGTTCTGGGCACCAGCCTTTAATCACCAGAGATTGGGCCTGCTGTACTCCATGCTGTGTTCTGGGGTTTATAATATATATATTTTTTATTTTATTTTTTAGCGTTTGTGTTTAGTTTGTGTTTTATTATAAATTCTGAATGTTATGCTGTGAGGTATTTTTCTTGTTCTGTAAATTTAGCAGCCGGCTAGCACAATACTAGGATTACAAAGTACAGGATCATTTTCGTGTGTATTCTATATCCAAAAATGTATATCCACAGGATGAGCTATATTAGAATTATAATCCAAATGAGTATTTGTCCACCTATTCTATAACTGATGTATATTTCATCTCGCTGTGCATGATAGAAGTTGTAGTCCAGCAGGGAGGGTCCATCAACATCTTTCTCTGTTTGATGGGCCATATATTAGAATGCAGGGTAGGCAGCCTTTTAGCAGCACTGTGCCGAAATAAGATTGTGATGTCCCGTAGCGTGCCGGTCCTATTAATTGAAATTGGGGTTTTGCATGCTGCCATATTCTGCTTGTTATTTCTATTGCAGTTGCTTTGTATCGTTGTATTTGTGCGTATATGAGATATTACATTGTATATGTTAACAAGTAGTTTGTGGTATCGTGTATGATACCTGTGTATGGGGGCTGCTTGTGGAATTGTGTGTGTGTGTGGATAGATATGTCACATTGTGTGTTTGGTAGTATGTGTGTATATGTGGGGTTGTGTGTGTGGATTGTTAGTGGTGTTGAGTTTGTGGGAAATGTGCGTGTGTTTGTGTGTGGGCTGTTTGTATTATTTGTATGAGGGGAGGGTTATTGTGCATTTCTGTGTATATCTAGCAGTGCTGGTGGCTTCCCTGGGATCCAGTGGGGACCAGGCAGGCCAGGTACTGGTCAAGGACTGGGAGTGCAACAGCAGCTGCGGGCTGCTCTACTACAGTGTGGATTCCCATTCATAAGTGCTGCAGGTTCCCTCTCCCTCCCACCCCCCAATCCCCAGTTGCTGAAGGGGTGAAAAGCTTCTCCATCCGCACCACTCCACCTTCTGATTGCGTCAGCCAGTGGGCGAGACTGATCCCGCCAACTGGCCGGGGAGACCTAATGCACATGCGCATTAGCGCTCCCCATAGGAAAGCATTGAAAATGCATTTCAATGCTTTCCTATGGGGAAATGAGCGACGCTGGAGTTCCTCACACAGCGTGAGGACGTCCAGCGACGTTCTAGCACAGGTTTCCTGTGCTAGGAACCAGGAAGTGCCCTCTAGTGGCTGTCTAGTAGACAGCCACTAGAGGTGGAGTTAATCCTGCAAGGTAATTTATTGCAGTTGCAGGGTTAAGGGTAGTGGGAGTTGGCACCCAGACCACTCCAATGGGCAGGAGTGGTCTGGGTGCCTGGAGTGTTCCTTTAAGAATTAAAGGTGATGCAGTTTTATTGGGTTCATTTTGTATGAAAGTTAAAAAGTGAAAATAAATCTGTGTAAATGCTCAGAAGAAAGTCTTGACGTAATCTTAAAGATTAACTGTAACAAGAATGGTCTCAGTGGAAAGTCTCCGCTGCTGCTAATTGGATAATGAGACCGTGCTCTAGCCGAGCTCCCATATGTTACAAGAAAATTTCTGTCAATTTAAAAAGGTCTCATTGGGAGAAAGATTAAATAGTCTCTGCCACGTCATGGACAGACTTGCTTGTCTTGATCTGAGGGTGACGGGGGACCAGACTGAGAGGGGCATTGCTCCCTGAAATAGAACGATGAGATCTTAGTCTGACTGCTACTCATTAAACGATGTACTATAGAAAGTACACTGGATACAGTGGATCTAGACTTGGAATAAAGTGTCAATTGCCAGAGTGAGAATATTACCCTCACTTACCATTAAAGAAAGGTCTGCCGCCGGAATATAACCCTCCTCACACCGCACAATCCACCATGTCCGCTTTACTCAACAAGAGGGCGATTTTTTTGTTTGTTGGTGTTTGGACGATATTCCATAAATGATCCTAAAAATGAATATTCTGTACCCCAATTCCATCAGAGGACAACTCCTTTTAGCCAACTTTGTGTCAGAAACTGGGTATATGGACCGTGTATGATACATTCCTGAGTTACATAAAGAATACTCAAAATTAAAAATCTGAGATTCCGTAGGTCAAGCGCTAACTTACCGTGAGATCTCTGGTTGCTCGAGGCCTTTATCTCCTGCAGGCACGAAGGGTACGTTAGTAAATTTCGTTCCAATATCGGACTAGCCGATCACTACTCTATAGCTCCCAGTATGTGTGTGTTGGGTGGGAGGATTCAATGCAAGGTCTGAGACTCTGCCTATTCACTGAATGCAGTGCGGCTCTGCCTAAATTAGGGAGAGGGGGATAGATTTGTGTAAACCACGATCCAGTTGCGTTTGCAGTCTGTTAATGCCACCATTACCTTAGGAGGGAATGACTAGGGTGTGAGGGTGTCCATTGAGGGACATATTTTGGGATGGCCACACTGATACATCATTCATTTCTCCTCCATGTAGATCCCTTACAAACCACATTCACCATATCTCAATAAAACCATAAATATGTTGGCGCTGTGTAAATGCCAATATTATTATTAAATAGCCCTTATACCAAGATTATATGTGAAATCCTTGTTCCAACATATCAAAATGTGAGCCTTAGAAAACCACTTCCAGAGATTGTTTGACACCTGTTAGTGTGTTTTGAGTATGTGTTTATCTGTTTGTGGATGCACATTTTGTTTGTCTAAACTCTAAAGTGCATTTGTGACACATTTTGAGAGTGATTGATTTTACTCAAATACTCATTATGCCATTAATCCCGGGGATATGAATTCTTTAATTGCCTTTTAATTTGCCCAGTGTTTAAGGGATTGCTGCTGTTAAGGGCGATGCTGTTAAGGCGCTATTAACATGCGTAGTTTCTTATCTGCCAATCCATACAATACACACTTTAATGCAGGGGGATACACGAAGCACAGGTGTTACTCCGCAAATACAGTAATTAATCGGCATTTAAGATAAAAAAAAATAATAAATCTCTGGCTCCTAAAAGCAAATCATTGGAGAATAATTTAATGACAGCAGGTTAACGTACTTTTTGATTTATTTAATTTTTTTTTTCGCTCTGTTATTTTATTTACACAACTAAATATTCTGATTAATGGAATTGGGATCACCTCGATGGGCCATACTGTTATCTAGGAAGTGTTTGTGTTAAAGAATAAGGTCCTTTGATCAATGATGGGCGCAAGCCTTGGCTCTGGAAATTCTAGTCTGCCATATTTTACGATTTTATTTCTATAAGTTTATAAATACAAATACATTTTAGTTGTCTGAATTTTTTTTGTACATATTTTCTGCGCGTTTGCTTAATTATTTTTGGACAGATGGTGCTTTTTGTGAGTTTTTTTTTTTTTTTTCCTGTTTCTCTTTGTCTCTAAAGCTCCTCTCATGGAGTTTCACGAAGAGGGAGGGAAAGGGGGAAGGGCCAGATGCAATTATGGCAGCTGGGAGTCATGGTTGTGTGCACAAGGTTGACTCCCAGCAATCTCAGGCAGCCCATGATGTCATTGTGCTGGACTAAGAAGGCCTTGTCTAGAACTGTGTAGTTTTGTTGCATTCTAGCAGCTGTGAATTGCAGCACACAGATACAAGCTGACACTGTTACTGCAGTGGAACAAAAGACAAATATATATATATATAAAAAAAAAAATTAAAAACAAAAGTGTGGGGGGGGGGGGGAATCAATCCTGTAAAATAGGATATGTAATCGTGACTCATGTAAAAGGAGACATTCCTCAGATTTTTGTCGTGTGTGTGTGTGTACAGTATGTACTATTCTCCCCTTGCCTGATACACAAGGTTCCAATCACAATGTGCAGCTCCCACATTGCTTCAATACTGCTTTAGAAGCAGAGCTGTCAGTCACTGTCATGTCAGGACTATTGTAAGTGACAGTTGTGCTTTCTCAGGAGATCTGCCTCCAACCCTGGCTGTATAGCCCCATAGCCTGAGCTAAGGACATGTGTCATGGTGATTATTTAGGATAAAATCATCCGTGGTCTGTGCCCACCCAATCACCCGGGCATGGCCATCGCTGGCATCCTCTACAATTTGCCAGTCATCATTTTATCTTCGCTCTGACCGCACACATGGTCGGTCGTACTTGCGAGTAGTGAAAACAAGAAGCTCCATTATTAAAAACAAGAAGCAAATAATTATTTAAGTTGTGAGGACTCTAATCCCAAATACACGTAGCCAGACACTGTATATACTGTGCAGATTTGGGGGATTCTCGCTTCAAGCACTGCATGTTATTTAAACTACGAGGAAGTGTGAATAAAGAAAATGTCTGTATGTAATGTATATCATTTATAAGGTGAAGTAATTGGGATTTCTGTCTTGTTTCTTGGAAGGAGAGAATAAAACGTCTACGAAAGCAGAAGTGGTCCTCTCTGGTTTGGTAAGGAATATTTTATTTTGTTAATGAATAAGCCCAGTCCTGACTCCCTGGCTGTTGGTACACGGTTTGTGACTTTTACCATGTGATAAGTGAAAGGAGGGCTTGCTGAGCACCCCTTCCCAGCCGGTAAGTTTTATCTCCGGAAGTGCCCCAGGTTTAACAAAGCATTATCTCCTGGAGTATTATCTAAGGGATATAACCTCCCTGTATGTCCTGCTGTGAGCACTGAGTGTCTCCATCCATTGCCGGGAGACTAATTAGCAGTCACTTACATGGCATCAAGTCCTCACATGTCCAGGTCCTTTGTAATGGGTATAAATCTACAATGCACTAGCTTGGAAAAGGCTTTATAGAATAGGACAAATGCAGCGTTCATTCATGTCACACACCACCTGCCAGTAGATTGCCATTTTGTCACTAGAACCCCAGGACGTGTCCTACAGAGCTGTGAACGGGGGACTCCTGGCCAGGGTTTCAGCGCAGTTAATTGCCAGAGGTTAGAGAAAAACCACAAAGTTTGGATCTATAAACTGTAATAATCAGATTTATTCTCCCATATCATTGACTGTTTCATGTCTGTTGGAGATGAACAGGTAAATAGACCGCTCGAGAATGTATTATTAGAATATTGTCATCTCAAAAACTCTGTGCTCTCCTTCAATTGGAGGAAGAATAGACTTTGTTTTCAGGTGTGCAGTAAGTGGGGTCTGTGCCAGTCTGGCTTTCAAAGGGTAAAACTAACCAAAAAAAGTGTAATTGGTGACATTTGAACAATCTGTTGGCAACTACTGTATATTGGTAAAGGGAAAAAGTACAAATTGGTTTGGTTGAGTTTAAGGACTTTAGCATTCATGTGTTCGTGGACCCATTTATTTATTTCTATTTAGAGTCCTTTTTCGTACCTGTGGAGAGGTTATATTACACGGGCCGGGTGTTCTTTTGCAAAGTCCTGCATGTAGACTTGGCTTTGTTCTGTCATTGAACATATGCCAGGATGAATCTCCCGTGAAACGTCTCACCCAGTCCCAAAGAAAGTAATTCAAAAATACTAATTATAAAATAAGATGAAACCACCTTTCTATGCAAAATTCATACAATGTCTCCCTCTCCTTTTGTCATGTTTTTGAAATAGACTGCCAGCAATAGACTGCCAGTCTGGTGCTGCCAATTTCAAGCCATGCTCCCAACCCAGCACTGCGCGAGATGTAACCCATTCATAGGTTAACACTGCCTAATCTGACCCATAATCCACGGCAGCCATGCCCACTCTGCATTGCCAACTCAGTCCAACTATGCCAAGTTCCATGGGCCCCTGCCATGCCCAGTCTACCAATCTGCCAACTTTGTGCAGAGACCTCCCACTACCTGGTATGATCAGCCTAATTACCAAGTTTTTATAATCCAAATTTCAAGATTCATCAACGCCACATTGGGGAACTATGACATACCCGACATTCCCAGCTTGCCCATTCTAAGTCTAGCTCCTGTTACACACCTATTTTTATCTAAATGATCCAGGGGCCTCTGCTTCTTAACCTCTGCACGTCTCAAATAGTTCTTGCTCACCTACTTTAATTTCTACCATTGATTAGACATGCTTCCTTAACCTGACTACAATCTACTATAAAAAATAGTGCTGTATTTTCTAATGCTGACCAACTGTTATGCTTTGTTTTATTGTATACTTGCAAATGCTGATGGGGCACTGCGCGCTATCATGCTATGTTTTTTCATGAACTACAAAAATAAAGAATTTTAAAAAAGACACCCAGTCGCGTGGGACCATCTCGGCGTCAGACACCCAGTCGCGTGGTACCATCTCGGCGTCAGACACCCAGTCGCGTGGTACCATCTCGGCGTCAGACACCCAGTCGCGTGGTACCATCTCGGCGTCAGACACCCAGTCAGACCACTACACGCTGAAACATTGCCTTTATATTTATGAGTTTACATGTTCTTTCAGTGTGTGAATAAACAGAAGCAATTACATTGCAAAAATTCCTTGGAGTGACTAAACACATTTTAATGTTAAATAAAATGCGGAGATCTTCTATGATTTTAATATTCAATCAAAATTTTCTCTTCTGAATTCTAATAAAACATTAAAGGGACGCAGCTAGAGGGGATTACAAATCCCTATTTATGCGTTATGTATACAAAGCATATAAAAAAAACCAAAAAAAAAAACACATTAACACTTGTATTAAAAAAAAAAAAATTAAAAAAAATTTAAAAATCTCTATTGAACAATTTCAATAGATATTGAATTAGAGCAGTCCGCTCTCCAAAATCCTCAGCGTAACAAGTCATTCAGCCAATAACACAGCAACATTTTGCCATAGTGCCTTTGTTAAGCCTTGACCAGAGTCCTGCCATTAGCGTGCAGTAGACACCTTCATTTTGCATTCTGTACAATAGAGGTTGCAAGTGCTGCCCAACAGTATGTGTTAATTCCAATATTTCAGACACGAAATTTAATCGGCTAGTTCTGGCTGTGATGATTAAACCACCATGTGGTCACCGCGTATTGCCTCTATATACTGCTGAGCAGGATATACCTGAATGAACCATAGTCCTTGTGGGCTTTAAATCCACTTTATACTACTCTCATTACTTCTGTATTAATACCATGTATTGCTGCTCATCTGATATATTGCACAGAGCCTGCATTCCATACCCCCTAGTCATTTTTAAATAAACAATTTAAACTTTTCATCCAGTGAGTGTCAAACCAATGAAACGCTATCCAGAACCTTTTACGTTTTCTGAATATTATTGTTTCACTGTTTCGATAAAGTCCCGTTGTTTGCCACAATGTTTATAAAGTATTTACTGAGATGGACTGAGATCGTTCTGTAGTATTTTCTATTCTGGGCTTGTTCACAAAGCAGGAATTTATCAGTGCTTTATAAATCCGTTCAGTTAATAAACCTATAAATGTTAAACATAGAAACATAGAATGTGAAGGCAGATAAGAACCATTCGGCCCATCTAGTCTGCCCAATTTTCTAAATACTTTCATTAGTCCCTAGTCTTATCTTATAGTTAGGATAGCCTTATGCCTATCCCACGCATGCTTAAACTGCTTTACTGTGTTAACCTCTACCACTTCAGCTGGAAGGCTATTCCATGCATCCACTACCCTCTCAGTAAAGTAATACTTCCGGATATTATTTTTAAACCTTTGTCCCTCTAATTTAAGACTATGTCATCTTGTTGTGGTAGTTTTTCTTCTTTAAAATATAGTCTCCTCCTTTACTGTGTTGATTCCCTTTATGTATTTAAATGTTTCTATCATATCCCCCCTGTCTCGTCTTTCCTCCAAGCTATACATGTTAAGATCCTTTAACCTTCCCTGGTAATTTTTTTAATTTTTTTTTAAATTTATTTATTTATTTTATTCTGCAATCAATTAACATTCTTGTATTAAAGGATACATTGCGTAATAATAAGTAATATGTTAATATTGCACACCCACTTTCCTATTTATCAGGGTTTAAACACCCCCTCCCTTCTTTTCTACATTCAGTTGAGGTGCTGCAATACATTCCAGTTAGTTGCTGGATTTATTTTCAGTTAATGGATCATCTGCTGAGTGGTACTTCTCTGCACCAACTACCTAAATCATGTTGTTTTCAGGAGATCTACCTGTTCATGCTAACGATAACTGCATTGTGACCTAAAATTTGCAATCCATTCTCCCCGATTCCTGGTTCTATGCGTATACCCCATAAACGTCCCCTAAATGCATGAGTACACACCGTATCCTCGAACATAATGTGCGTGTGCACAAGGAATGATGGGTAGTAGTCCCCAAGATGGCTGTGCTTGTGGCTCTGTAGAGACCAGTATCCTTTGTTCACTGCATGCATCGCGGCTCGCCAGTAAACCTTTCAACGCAAGTTATAGAGGAATGAATATAAATAAAGATATGATAGAAACATTTAAATATATAAAGGGAATCAACACAGTAAAGGAGGAGACTATATTTAAAAGAAGAAAAACTACCACAACAAGAGGACATAGTCTTAAATTAGAGGGACAAAGGTTTAAAAATATCAGGAAGTATTACTTTACTGAGAGGGTAGTGGATGCATGGAATAGCCTTCCAGCTGAAGTGGTAGAGGTTAACACAGTAAAGGAGTTTAAGCATGCATGGGATAGGCATAAGGCTATCCTAACTATAAGATAAGGATAGGGACTAATGAAAGTATTTAGAAAATTGGGCAGACTAGATGGGCCGAATGGTTCTTATCTGCCGTCACATTCTATGTTTCTATGATTCCCTGCAAGACCCTAAACATTACGTTTTATCCTTAGCCGTGTTCTAATAGTGCTAATTGGTCACAGCGCGGAGATAGAAACTAAATAAAAATAATATAGAAGAATGTAAGCCGTATTAATAATATACCCAGGTCCATGGCGCTGATGGTTGTAGCCTGGACATTTATTTTTCTCTCTCCCAGGCAGATCGTGTTTTATCTGCCCAAGGCTAGTAGGAGTTGCAGTCCTCGGCGGAATATATCAGGAGACGATCTCAAGACACAGGATGGCTCTTGCACGGCGCCCCTTATTTACCACAATAATTTGTTTTGGGGTTGTTGTTTTTTACATTTATTTTATTTTTTCTGTGCATTTAAAAAAATATAAAAAGTCCAATAACTGCGTTTTATACCATGTGTACGATGCGAATTTATCTGCGTACTGCGTGCTCTCCACGTCAGGTGTGTGCAAGACAAAGTGCGCTGCTAATTTTTATTCACTGCCATTCAGCACAAATTATAGGGCTCTGCGTTATTTTAGGATCCTTTAACTAATGCATTGATCTGCAGCCCGCAGCCCTGGTGCTAAACAATGCCAACGCCTTTCAGTGACAGCTTGCAATTAGCAGGAGCGGTGCCAGGCTGCAGTTAACCCAGTCCGTACCAGGAGGGTGATCAGCGCATCACTGTGCAAATTGCAGCCCACGCGTCTAGGCCTGCGAGGAGTTAAATCTGGGTAACAAGAAAAGATGAGTTTGGAGAGCTGAATATCCAATTAGTGTAATGGGCTGATATGGCAGAGCTCTCTGGCTAAATTTAACAGCAATTTTATGGAAAAGAAACCTTCTCCCCATCCCCTTTGTGGCATTCAGTGTTAAAGGGACAGTTCATTATTTAATTGAAAAGTAGACTTATTGTAAACAAAGTGAATTTTGAAATACATAGCAATAAAATCTGAACGATCACATGAAGCCTGATTGCTAGTATCAGCACTGCATTACCCATGATGCTTAGCAGCTTGCATGACAATATTCTCCTTAATAAAGGTTTTGTGGAAATCTACTAAATGCGAAGTAAAATATGCTACCTGAAAATAAACCAGCTTTAAACAGATTAGTCAAATTCTAGTTGTGTGGTTTGTTTTATTATTTTTTTTTATTTATATTATACCATTTCCTTAAATATTTACCTGTTTTTATTTTATTTTTTGCCTAGCCTCTCTTGAAAGCCCTGCCGGTGCGCTAATGGCCAGCAATAATACAGCCAGTATAGCACAAGCCAGAAAACTGGTAGAACAACTCAAAATGGAAGCCAACATTGACAGAATAAAGGTAAGACACCTATACCTCCAGAGTGTCCTGATTTAGGAGGGGCAGTCTTTATATTTTTGTTCAAATCCCTCTGTCCCTCTTTTCTAGGAGCATCATATTGTTGGTAGCTTCACAGTAATAATACTCCCAGTAATGTGTCTGAGTGTATAACAGAGCTCCACAGCAATAATACTCCCAGTAATGTGTCTGAGTGTATAACAGAGCTCCACAGCAATAATACTCCCAGTAATGTGTCTGAGTGTATAACAGAGCTCCACAGCAATAATACTCCCAGTAATGTGTCTGGGTGTATAACAGAGCTCCACAGCAATAATACTCCCAGTAATGTGTCTGAGTGTATAACAGAGCTCCACAGCAATAATACTCCCAGTAATGTGTCTGAGTGTATAACAGAGCTCCACAGCAATAATACTCCCAGTAATGTGTCTGAGTGTATAACAGAGCTCCACAGCAATAATACTCCCAGTAATGTGTCTGAGTGTATAACAGAGCTCCACAGCAATAATACTCCCAGTAATGTGTCTGAGTGTATAACAGAGCTCCACAGCAATAATACTCCCAGTAATGTGTCTGAGTGTATACCAGAGCTCCACAGCAATAATACTCCCAGTAATGTGTCTGGGTGTATAACAGAGCTCCACAGCAATAATACTCCCAGTAATGTGTCTGGGTGTATAACAGAGCTCCACAGCAATAATACTCCCAGTAATGTGTCTGGGTGTATAACAGAGCTCCACAGCAATAATACTCCCAGTAATGTGTCTGTAATAACAGAGCTACATCAATAATACTCCCAGTAATGTGTCTGAGTGTATAACAGAGCTCCACAGCAATAATACTCCCAGTAATGTGTCTGAGTGTATAACAGAGCTCCACAGCAATAATACTCCCAGTAATGTGTCTGAGTGTATAACAGAGCTCCACAGCAATAATACTCCCAGTAATGTGTGAGTGTATAACAGAGCTCCACAGAGTAATGTGTCTGGGTGTATAACAGAGCTCCACAGCAATAATACTCCCAGTAATGTGTCTGGGTGTATAACAGAGCTCCACAGCAATAATACTCCCAGTAATGTGTCTGAGTGTATAACAGAGCTCCACAGCAATAATACTCCCAGTAATGTGTCTGAGTGTATAACAGAGCTCCACAGCAATAATACTCCCAGTAATGTGTCTGAGTGTATAACAGAGCTCCACAGCAATAATACTCCCAGTAATGTGTCTGAGTGTATAACAGAGCTCCACAGCAATAATACTCCCAGTAATGTGTCTGAGTGTATAACAGAGCTCCACAGCAATAATACTCCCAGTAATGTGTCTGAGTGTATAACAGAGCTCCACAGCAATAATACTCCCAGTAATGTGTCTGAGTGTATAACAGAGCTCCACAGCAATAATACTCCCAGTAATGTGTCTGAGTGTATAACAGAGCTCCACAGCAATAATACTCCCAGTAATGTGTCTGAGTGTATAACAGAGCTCCACAGCAATAATACTCCCAGTAATGTGTCTGAGTGTATAACAGAGCTCCACAGCAATAATACTCCCAGTAATGTGTCTGAGTGTATAACAGAGCTCCACAGCAATAATACTCCCAGTAATGTGTCTGAGTGTATAACAGAGCTCCACAGCAATAATACTCCCAGTAATGTGTCTGAGTGTATAACAGAGCTCCACAGCAATAATACTCCCAGTAATGTGTCTGAGTGTATAACAGAGCTCCACAGCAATAATACTCCCAGTAATGTGTCTGAGTGTATAACAGAGCTCCACAGCAATAATACTCCCAGTAATGTGTCTGAGTGTATAACAGAGCTCCACAGCAATAATACTCCCAGTAATGTGTCCGAGTGTATAACAGAGCTCCACAGCAATAATACTCCCAGTAATGTGTCTGAGTGTATAACAGAGCTCCACAGCAATAATACTCCCAGTAATGTGCTGGGTGTATAACAGAGCTCCACAGTAATAATACTCCCAGTAATGTGTCTGAGTGTATAACAGAGCTCCACAGCAATAATACTCCCAGTAATGTGTCTGAGTGTATAACAGAGCTCCACAGCAATAATACTCCCAGTAATGTGTCTGAGTGTATAACAGAGCTCCACAGCAATAATACTCCCAGTAATGTGTCTGAGTGTATAACAGAGCTCCACAGCAATAATACTCCCAGTAATGTGTCTGAGTGTATAACAGAGCTCCACAGCAATAATACTCCCAGTAATGTGTCTGAGTGTATAACAGAGCTCCACAGCAATAATACTCCCAGTAATGTGTCTGGGTGTATAACAGAGCTCCACAGCAATAATACTCCCAGTAATGTGCGTGTATAACAGAGCTCCACAGCAATAATACTCCCAGTAAAGTGTCTGAGTGTATAACAGAGCCCCACAGCAATAATACTCCCTGTAATGTGCCTGTGTGTATAACAGAGCTCCACAGCAATAATACTCCCAGTAAAGTGTCTGGGTGTATAACAGAGCTCCACAGCAATAATACTCCCAGTAATGTGCCTGTGTGTATAACAGAGCTCCACAGCAATAATACTCCCAGTAGTGTGTCTGAGTGTATAACAGAGCTCCACAGCAATAATACTCCCAGTAATGTGTCTGAATGTATAACAAAGCTCCACAGCAATAATACTCCCAGTAATGTGTCTGGGTGTATAACAGAGCTCCACAGCAATAATACTCCCAGTAATGTGCGTGTATAACAAAGCTCCACAGCAATAATACTCCCAGTAATGTGTCTGGGTGTATAACAGAGCTCCACAGCAATAATACTCCCAGTAAAGTGTCTGAGTGTATAACAGAGCCCCACAGCAATAATACTCCCTGTAATGTGTCTGGGTGTATAACAGAGCTTCACAGTAATAATACTCACAGTAATGTGTCTGAGTGTATAACAGAGCTCCACAGCAATAATACTCCCAGTAAAGTGTCTGAGTGTATAACAGAGCCCCACAGCAATAATACTCCCTGTAATGTGTCTGGGTGTATAACAGAGCTTCACAGTAATAATACTCACAGTAATGTGTCTGAGTGTATAACAGAGCCCCACAGCAATAATACTTCCAGTAATGTGTCTGAGTGTATAACAGAGCTCCACAGCAATAATACTCCCAGTAATGTGTCTGAGTGTATAACAGAGCTCCACAGCAATAATACTCCCAGTAATGTGTCTCAGTGTATAACAGAGCTCCACAGCAATAATACTCCCAGTAATGTGTCTGGGTGTATAACAGAGCTTCACAGTAATAATACTCCCAGTAATGTGTCTCAGTGTATAACAGAGCTCCACAGCAATAATACTCCCAGTAATGTGTCTGGGTGTATAACAGAGCTTCACAGTAATAATACTCACAGTAATGTGTCTCAGTGTATAACAGAGCTCCGCAGTAATAATACTCCCAGTAAGGTGTCTGAATGTATAACGGAGCTCCACAGCAATAATACTCCCAGTAATGTGTCTGAGTGTATAACAGAGCACTCATGACCTTGACGTCAGTTCACCGCTTGTCCTTCCTTGCACCCCTTTCGGTATATAGTAAGCCCAGCTTGCCATTTTGGAGATGTTCTTACCAAGTTAGTAAGCCATCACTATTTCCCTTGTGAATGTCACCCAGATCTTTTTCCTTGCCCATTTTTGACTGTGTTCACTTGCTGCCATATATATCCCACCCATTGATAAATGCCATTGTAACAATATAATCAATGGTATACACTTCACCTGTCAGTGATTTTACAATACAATGTCACTGATCACTGTATAGCTCCTATCATCCCCTTCCAGCTGAGTGAAGATTAGATTTCATGACCTTATGCATCCAATTATTCCTTTCTTCCTCCTCTCGTTTTAATTTCCTCTCCCTTTTTCTGTCCTTTCTTAATTATTTATAAATTGTATAAATGAACGCATTGACAAAACAAAGTAAACGATAGATACATTCACAATAAACAAACTACAAAGTAATCCCCATGAGTTTCCCTCCATCAGACCCAGTACCCGCACGGTATGTGTCAGGGCGTCTGCCCACTGCTTTATAAATAATGGAACGGCATGCTTCAAACGCTAGAGGAGGGGAAATGTGGCGGGGATTTTTTTCCCCCTCCGCATTCTCATATTATCCCGATTGGCAGCCTGTGGAGAGCTTTTAATGTAATTGTCTGCCAGGTAACCAGGCTAACAACAAGGTCCAGGCCTAACTCTTTCCTTGCCACCATGTCTGACACCATGCAAGCACTGTGGCTGGCTTCTCAAAAATATCCTTGGGACTCCCTCCATGTAGACGTCTGGCTCCATATATTTAATATTGAACGGTGGGTGACCAGACCTCTCTGGATATGAATTATTTGTGTTATTGAAAGGAGCAGCTTGGAGGCACAGTCCATGACTGTTGCGTCTCTCTGGATTTACCATAAGTCGACTTATGTTGTCCGTGAATGGATTATCCCTCTCTGCGGCTGGCTGAGAGTAATTTGCAGCCAGATAGTCCGTCCTATACTATGTGTTATGTGGGATCAATCGGGAACATAATGTTACAAAGTATTTAGAGCTCATTTTATTTTAGTCATGTTATAAGTTTAATTTCCCATGATGCTTTGCTAGCCATGCACTTTCTCTATATAAAGAATGAAGAGGACCCTGTGAAGTCTTAATATTCTGCATAAAATTGCAAATTTTAAGCCCAAATAGTCCAAATCCTCCCGTTTATGAATGCTTTTCTATTTTAACATACGATTTCCTTATCAGTTCTAAAAAAAAAAAGTGAAATAATAAATCCATTTGATTAGACCAGGCGTTCAGTCGTCCAGATTTTCACATACCGGTAATTTTGATATTCTCTTCCTACTGAATAATCGTCTGGGGGTCTGTCACTCCGTGATATTTTATAAAAAGCCTTATGATGAAGCATTTTGAGGATACAGAAAAGTTTTAAAACCTTAAAATGATACAAATACAGAGACAACATGGATTTCCAGCATTGCATAGAATCCGCCTCAGAACACTGTGGAAAATCACATCCGAAGTGATCTAAACTGTGGAATTCTGTGTCGGACTCCTGCGTCCTGTTCTATACAAATGTGATACAAGTACATCTAAAATATTATTGGCAAAGGCACATTAGTGTTAAAGGGACACTATAGTCACCAGAACTACAGCTTATTGCATTTGTTCTGGTGAGTAGAATCATTCACTTTAGGCCTTTTGCTGTAAACACTGTCTTTTCAGAGAAAATGCAGTGTTTACATTACAGCCTAGAAACACTGGCCACTCCTCAGATGACTGCTAAAGGTTCTATCTGGGGCAGTGCTGCACCGTGTGACCGACATTCTGTCTCTCCACCCTCTGCACTGAACTTTCCTCATAGAGCTGCATTGTTATAATGTATCTCTATGAGGAGATGCTGATTGGTCAGCGCTGTGTTTGATTTGTGCTGGCTCTTCCCCTGATCTTCCTCCTTGATGGTCTCCTATGGGGAAGCATTGTGATTTGCTTAGACTACAATTCTGATGTCAGCAGACCGGGGCGTGTCAGGAGCTGCAGACTTGAATAAAAGTAAAATTTTACTATATTTAGGGAGGTGGTGGGGAAGGAGGGCTAGATGCTGGTTTTAACACTATAGGGTCAGGAATACATGTTTGTGTTCTGACCCTATAGAGTTCCTTTAATTTTGGCAGCAAATTTCAATTTAGTTTGTCATAGTCTTTTGACTAAAAAGCCATTTTAGTTTGATGCATTTTAGTGATCTGAATCGTTTTTGTTTTAGTCGACTAAATCTCAAAAATATTTAGTCGACAAAGATTTGACTAAAATTGTTAGTCGACAAAATTAACACTGGGACACACTGTAGAGCCTTCCAGAAGCGAATCGAGAACCCATGTCAGTATATTCTATCCTGAGCCTCCTCCTATATAGAACCACTTAAAGAGCAGTGATGTCCCATCTCTGCTTCACGTACTAGCCGGGAATATTTGGTGTTGGCGGAAATATCGTGTTATTCTGCATAACAAGATGTTCAGTCACAGAGCTGAGTATGTTCGTTAAATGGCCACTCCAGTCTGTAGTGTGTACGGAGCGTAGAGACGGTAACATTGCTGCACCTTCCTTCCAGGGCCGCAAATCTGCCTGATCTAAATCCAAAATGTCCCCACTCTGTCCGTATACGACACTATTCCAGCTGTCACTTGTTTGTCTTCAGAGATTCTCATGTATTTTACATTAAAGTAAAGCTTCTGATACAAGTGGAATTACATGTTTTATTTAGACCATGAGCGTGACACACACAGGATGTGCGATTTCCGCAGCCGCACAGCGGTTCCCCCGGTGCTGGCTGTGAGCTTCCATGATCTGATGAATTATAAATATGTAATATTTCTGCATTAGAAATGGGGTTTGAAGTCGAAAGGACATCTGGGAGGAATAATGCATTGCTTTATATAATTACCTACGTTCGGTTAAGAATTTTGGGGGCCTTTAATGGAACCAGGCAAGGCGTTTTTAGGGCCAATTGCAGTTTGTCATCAGAAAAATCACCCCGTATTTACCTCGGTAACTGTTCATTTTGCTTGCATTCCCTTTGATTACAAAATGTAAAATGTCCAGCAGCTGGTTACCAATAAAACAAAAGTAAAATAAATCCTTCAATTAACCTTGTCGGCGGGGGAACATTAGATCCTACTAGGGTGGCAGAGGGTGGGTTAATTATAATTCAGCATTTCTCCGCAATTAAACTCTTAATTTGGGCAGAGATGGTGACTTTTTCTATTTCTGCATGTTTAGAAATGTAGAATATGTAAGTTAAAAAGGCCGAGGGGGTGCAGAAAATAAGAGAAATTAAAATCTGGACACATTTCTCGCCTGACTGGAGCTCTCTTAACAGCCTTCAGTCAGGCGTGAAACGCGTCTCGCACTTAATGTCTGACTGGAGGCTGTTTTGAGAGAGCGCCAGTCAATTTAATATGGATTTTTAATTTGGATCATTTTGGAGGTAGGTGAAAAGTCTTTTTGAGAATTGTTTTTTTTATAACATTTGTCCCAACTAAATTTCTCTAGCTTCTTCGGCTTTATTAGATACAGTATTTATTTTTCTGGAAATCCATGAATTTTCAAAGGAAATAAACTGCGCTTTTAATAAACAATCTGATTGAAATCCTGTGTGTTGCAGTCAGTAGTAACATTCCACCGGTTTCCATGGTGATTGTTCCACATTTAGAATTCCTGTCTGCTCACGCTGCATGTTACTGTGTGTTAGTCAGTTCTGTGTTTCTGTTGTTGATGATGCACGGCATTGAACGCTAAATAAAGCTCTTTTTGTTTTTTTTTCTCTTCAGTGTCTGAAAATGATGGGGAAATGTTCTTTTTCTTGAGATAGTTCACTGTTGTGGTGCCAGGAGAGCCCTAGTGTCCATGCCCATTCTAAATAGCGAACCATGCTAGTACAGGTTGACTACTTACCTAAAGCGCCACTCTGTGCCTCCACTACTTCATACATCAATCCGGAAGCACTCTGTTTGCTAAGCCTGTCGGTGCACGGCTTGTGCTACTGGTTAAAAAAGATCAGCCAATGAGCTAGCCCCACACTTCAGGGCTTTGCTCAGGAGACTAAGTGTAGCCCCCTAGCAGGAGTTTCTGGCTCTCCGTTATTAATACTAAAGGTAGGGAGTGGCGCCCAGCAGATCCCAGATGAGAGAAATCCACTCTTAATTGTTTTGACTAATTCCAATGAATGGAGTGCATGCCTGATACCATAACCATTACAGGATTTCCCTGCAGTAGGCCTGCGCAGAAGCTGGATGCCGATCTGGCTGCTCATTCATTGAGAGCGTCAGCTGATTGCTCTCGGCTATTGAATTGCCCTCTGTGCTTAGAAATCTGCACCGAATTGGCCAGCCCACAACGCCATTTCTAGGTTGGCTAATGATGCCGCCAGAGGTGGAATTAATGGGGACTTTAGGAGGAATATGTTGGTGCTATGTAAATGCTAATAATAACAATAACGTGTTTCTTCACTAATCAAAGAATTGTAAAAATTGTAGATATAAAAAAAATTCACAGAATTCAAGTTTTTTCATTTAATTCCTCCCCCCCCCTCAGCCTGGGTAGTTTAGTCTAGATGTTGCAATCCCTTTGGCAATTCTCACAATTCCCATTTTAAAAAGGAAATATACAAAAAATAGATTGCAAGCTCTAGGGATGGAAGTTAGTTTACTACATTTTACCATCACCACTGTAACAAGGCCTTTATAACGTGGTCATTCTCTTCCAGGTATCAAAAGCTGCGGCCGACTTGATGGCGTATTGTGAAGCTCACGCCAAGGAGGATCCCCTACTGACCCCAGTGCCTGCATCGGAAAATCCATTTAGGGAGAAGAAGTTTTTCTGTTCCATCCTGTAAACCGTAGAAAGCCGCGTGCTGCCGGGCTCCCCGAACACTGATGTAGAATTTTCAACATCACAGACTCTCTTGCAGTCTACAGAATCACAGTAACAAAATTAATAACTCGACTTGGAGAAGGAGCAGCATTGATAATCCTGGCTAAGGAAAACCCATCACTCGAAAAATGAAGGAAGATTTTTCAACCATGAAAATAAGACTTGGTCTTTTCAGACTGCCTAGAGAGAAAAATGTGTTCGACAAAAACATAAAGCTTTGTGTCACTTAAGTTCAACCTGTTTTTTATTTTTGTTTTTTTTCATATTTTTTTTTTCCTTTTTGTAATTTTCATTATTTTGAATGGGGCAAGGGGCAATGTTTTTCCAAAGCAGATGTTAGATTGTGAATAGCGTGCTTTTTTATTTTTTTGTTTATTTTAAGTTAACAATATTCTTTCATCTAAATTAAATCGTCACTTCTAGTCGCAGGATAAAATTTGCAATGGTGTTTATATTTCTTCATATGTAGATGTTGTGCATTGCGTAGAGTAGAGTAGCGCTACGATGCATTTCGCGGTGCCGATCATGTAATATTTTAACCGCGTTCATGGTGTGTATTAAGAAATTTAGCCAGCAAGTGGCTGTTATGTGTTCTAGGAAAATGTTATCACTCTTTGTAACATTTTTAATGTAACTTTTGATTCTGAAAAACATAAGTCTAGTGATTTAGTTTTTATATCTATTTTTGTGACTATTTTGAAGGCATTGTGCAGGAAGCAGCAGAGGGAGGGATGCAAATCTGGTTTTGATCTACATCCCAATACAAGGAGCTGAAAGGTGGAAATTATGCCAATAACTTTATTTTTTACACTTTTTTTTTTTTTTTTTTTTTTTTTTGTGAATCAAAAAAACGCTTATTGAATTTCCATAGTGCCATAGAGAATAGCAATCTCAAGCGATTACAATAGCAGTTTCCAACCTGTTGGGTTTTGAAGAATTGCCAAAGAATCACAAGCCTTGGTCCTATAGCCATAAGAGCTGTTGAATTGGCAGATCGCATTCAGAACTCCCAAAACCACCTGTATATTGTCTCTAAAAGCAGAAAATCTAGCTGTTCTTCCATAATCTACCTTTCTAGCCAGTTGGAGAAACAGACCGTAAATATTCTCCTTAATATTTTAGTAACCCTTTGTGTAACTTCTAGTGACAAATGACTCGGTATAGGATTATCTCGATCTAAATCACGTTGGAGTGTATCGTCCGTTAAGGAGGTGACAAACCATTCTGACATTCATTGAATACATTGCAGAGTAACCTACACATAATGTAAGCTTATAAGGCCTTGTTCGATGATTATACAGCCATATAGTTTGTTTCTTTTGGGGACAAAAGTCGATAGTGTGTACCCAATACAAAAGTTATGTTTAGGGTTTTGTAGAGTATCACTTGCTAAATTTGAGAATTGTATAGAAGGGTCACGTTTTCTCAATATATCTGTGTTGAGTTAAAGTTTATTATACCTTTGTTAATTCTTCTAAATCTCCAGTTTAGTAAATATCCTAATTCTCCTGCCCCCCTCTCCCCCTTGTTGTAAAATATTTATACCGTATTTTTAATTTCATGTTCCACTCTAATTCTATAAGTATTTTTAGGACGTCTCTCTGTAAGATCACTGCAGAGCTCAACAGTGACCCATCCAAGCATGTTTCAGGAGATTTTAAGGGGGTGATTAATAACTGGTTAAAACCCCAATATGCCTATTCTTTGGGGCACAGTCATCTTTAACCCCTTAAGGACACATGACGTGTGACATGTCATGATTCCCTTTTATTCCAGAAGTTTGGTCCTTAAGGGGTTAAAACTGATGACAGGAGACCTTTTCACCAATATGACTGCATAATAAATAATTACCTTGTTTGTTTAAAATGAGATCTGAATCTTCTGCTTAATTTCCGCCATACATGAGTGTTCATTATGGATGGACCGTTAGGGACAAACCGTTATTCACCAAAATGTGTCTGTCTGGAATTCAAACTGGTTTATTCTCTAAGCCCCAAACTGCGGTGACTTGAAACTTCGTTTGCACAATCTAAGAGCCAGGATTCTCCAATAGAGAGAATCAAATTTAACCTACATTTTACAATTTAGTTTTCAATTCAGGGAGATGTTTTGTTCACGAAAAGAGACTTGCACATTTTACTCCAACATAGCAGATATAAAACAACTGTTTTCTTGTTTGGCGATTTACTTACTTAATTACAAATTCCTTGATGACTTTCTGTAGTTTGTGGTTTAACCAATAAACCTTTACATTGTGAGTGGCACCCTGTATCTTTGGGCAAGTGATGGAGAATATTGGGCAATGTCTTTGGATAAATTACCTTTTACATGAATCCTTTGAAAAATCAAACAAATGACTAAACTAGCTGACACAATTAAAAACTATGCTGAGGTTTCATTATTGTAGAGTATAAATAATGCAAGTTCAACAATGGGTTGTGGACATTTCTCTGATTTATTGAATTTTGTAATATGTCACACCAGTTGGTTCCTAAAGTGAGAATTGAAAGTGAATTTCATATTTGAGGCCAAAGTGTCTGAAATGGAAAAATTCTCAGTAATTTAATCTATGCTTTTTGTTCAACTACTCTGGTCTTAAATTTGACATTCACTTTGAATTCTCACTTTAGTACATAACCCAAATGACTATTCCCCACAGAGTGAATTGATGGAAAATCAAAGTGCATTTAAAAATTGCCAAACTAGAAGAAATCGTTTACTTGGATAATGTTCCCATTTCAGCTATTGGCGATAAAATGTTGAAACATACCTTGAAGTTCTGTCAATTCACACATTTGGTAATAAACAGTCACACAAAGTGTTTTCTAAATGTTTAATCCTTTCAACTTATTTCTTTAATTGTTCAATAAATTGCAAAAGTCAGAATCTTTTTTGACATGTTTTTTTTCCAAGTAGAATAACGAATCAACGTCTAAAGATTGTATCCAGGTAAATGTGAACATGGCAAAGTAATTTATTTCTGATTTCGGATGTTGGTGATTTGGTATGAATAAACATGATGGACCAAAAACATTTTTCATTTTTAGAAGTTCATGTAAATCCTGCTAATTTGGTGTCCTGTAGGGTTGTCGGGAAGAACAGGTAAGCACAGATTTTATACATGTAGGAGGATAACGTCTTCCTCAATATTCTTGTTGCCATCGAAAACAAGTGAGAAAATCTGCCCAGTGTGTCTATTTTATGTAATTATATGAAATAATCCTAAACGTTGGCTTTTCCGATGTGATTATTTATAAAATATTTTACCAGGGAGGATACATTGAGATTTCTCTCGTTTTCAAGTATGTCCTGGGCTCACAAAACATTGCATTGATATAATAGGGTACAATAAATTACAAATCTTAATACAAAACATAACAGAGCAGATAGGAATTATATAATCAACCATGACCGGTGCATTCTTCTTTTGAGATATGTAGAGAGGGATCTCTTAAGGGATTTTAGGTCTGGGGAAGATTTGAAAGTGTGCGGGAGGTCGTTCCATAATTGGGGTGCTCTGTAGGAGAAGGAGTATCGGGCTGCTTTCTTTTTGTATTGAGGTAGACTAAAGTGCTGTCTATATTAAAAAAAAAAAAATTAATATATAGAACATTTTAATTACAACTAAAATTTGTCAACCTATAACTGGTACACTAGTGATATTTTGTGGGGTTGTTTTTTTTTGTTTTTTTCTGAAATTAAGAAAAGTCCCTCACAGCGGTGGAACGCACGCCTGGGTGGTGGTGCGTTCCACCAAAGTCCAGTTGCGCTATTGCGCATGCGCGAGCCGGAACTTCATGGAAACGGTTGAGTGCGGATCGCTGTGCAGTTCCCTCTGACAGCAGGACAATTGTCAGAAGGTTCCCCGTGTCCCCAGCCCCCCTCACACGGCTCAGAGGATTTCAAGGTAAAAGGACAAGTTTTTGTTAATGCTCTGAGCCAATACCACGACTGCTAAAAATACAGGTAGAATTGATTAATATTTTTCCTTCATTTTTATTTTTATTATTCCTTCAGTGACACACAGGTTTTGAAGATGTCCCTTTACTGTCTCCTCGTATTTATTGAATCGCCATGATTTGCTCAAGGCCACTTTGTGATATACTCTTGAAATCTCGTAGCCTCTGAAAGCATGTTTTCTATGATATAAGATAATGTCTGCTTACTGACCTGGGATTTTCTGCAGGTATTGAATTGGCCTTTCAATGAATCAGGAAGTAGAGAGCTGAGCTGCATTGCTCAGTTTACATCTAAGCTGTCCCTAGCCTCCTGTGTCTTAAATATCCTAACCTCAATATAAAATACAGGGAGGTGCTGGGGTGACTTCACCCTTTTCAATACATTTTAGTGATTTAGGCTTTTTCCCCCTCCGAACATCCAGCAATTGTAACCACTCTCCAGTATCTGCTTTTCATATAGACCGGGAAATGTCTCAGATCTCTCAACCAATCCGGGCCCTCCCATTCCTTTCAATGGAATCACTGTATGTATTCCTTACCAAAGGCCATTCATTCTTGTCAATGAGGTCATTCAAGCAACATTATTTTTATTTATTTATTTATTTTTCTTCTTTAACCCAATTTCTTTGTAAATGGCTGTTTGATTTAATGGGAACTTTGTCTCTGTTCTATGTACCCAATGTATACACTCTATATGCTGCACATACAGAATACGCAGCCTGGTGATTCACATTACAATCTCTGCAGATGTCTCCACTGTTGCTACAAGTCCAGTATAAGGAGCCCTTTTTTTTTCCCTTTTCAGACAAGTCTTGTCTATATAGTTAAACACAGCCTGATCACAGGAGATTTTAATGTGCGGATATCCAACACCCCATTAATCAAACGCTGTGACATGTTTCAAGGTTACTCAGGCAAATATTATGAAATATTTTGTTAAATGACAAAGCACATTGAGGACATAGACTTAAAGGGTTACTCCAACCCCAATTAAGAACTCAAATACCTCTTCGGTTCCCCCATCCCATGTACGTATAAGCTTCCTCAAATACAGGGCCGGGAGAATCTCTTGACACCAACCCTCCAGGCCCTGTTGTGATATCAGCACGCACTCCCGCGGTCCAATCACAGAATTCTCATACAGAAGCCTGTGATGGGACTAATTTGCTGGCTCAATGCATGTGCTTTGGGCCAGCGAGGGAGGATTTCTCGTGCATATATATATGTGTGTGTGTGTGTGTGTGTGTGTGTGTGTGTATGTATGTATGTGTATATATATATATATATATATATATATATATATATATATATATATATACATAATGTCAGTGCAAGGGGAAGCTGGCACTTACCACAGAGAGGGAAGGTGGTAAGTGCCGGCTTCCCCTTGCACTGAGCACAAACTTATAATATGCACAGAATTGACATTTGGGCAGCCCGGAACAGAGTTCTGAGTGCTGGGGGTGCAACTAGCCTCCAACACACAAATACAAAGAACAGCTGGAACACTGCACAAATCACTGAAGTGGTCATGGTGGTTGAAGGAACCCTTTTATGTCTTCTTATCGCATAGGACAGCTGTGATTACGTTCCTTGGCTCGCTTCCCCTATTCACCCCCAATCTGAAAAAGTACAGAAAATGATAGAATCCTAAAATTATATATTGGTGCAAGCATAGTGCATGAATTATCGACATTATACGGTATAGATTACATACATCACTGACGTGCAGTACAAACGTATAAATGTTAATGAAAGACCCTTTATTTTTTTCACATTTCAAAATTAAAATACAATAACATGCTGAATAATGTAAACATTGGTAAAATAAGTGAAACCACCAAGTCGCCAGGTGAGTAAGAGCTTGTGAGCGTTATGGGTCGGTATGTCTGACTGACTATGGGGATAGGGAAATGCGTTTAGTGAGGTGGGAATTCCAGCAATCTGAAGGGTTTGGCTTAAATCAGTAGGAATTATGTTCGATCGTGCTTCAAGGTATGAGGAAGGAGGATGTCCTGACCGAAGCGTCTAGGCCAAGCTCTAGCTGAAAATGCTTGCCCCTAGCCTATGTGTGTTTCAATTAAAGCGTCAGGAGCAGGTGGAGAACTATAAACCTCAATTAAGTAAAAATATAGAATGACAGCCTAGGGTGAAGGCAACGGTTTAAAACTGGAAAAAATAAAGATAAGGAAGTTGAGAGAGGAGTCCATCTTGTAGGTGTTCGTGTGACAGAATCTCGATCTCACCCCAGGATGAAAGGAGTAATTCGGAAGACATCCCAGACGTGACTTGTGGACGGCGACGAGTGCGGCTCCGGGAAGCCCAGTTGCTGTAGGAATTTCAGACCCTCCGTCGGTGTAGATGCTTTGTAGGTCTTGCCTTCTTTAGCAACGGAGATAGATCTGGGGTAAATCCATCTATAGGGGAGTCCAGCAGTTTGCAGGGCTTGAGTAATAGGACTCATGGACCTCCTCCACATCAAGGTGGCCTTGCTCAGGTCGTGATATAAGGTGAGGGTGTGGGTCTCGAAGGTGAGCGGTGTTTTGCCTCGCAGGACATGAACGAGCCTCTGTTTGTCCACAAAGGTTTGGCAGCAGAGGATTATGTCCCTTGGAACATTGTTTGATGATGGTGCGGCTGCAGGGATTCTGTATAAGCCGTCATATGAGAATTTTTTGTGGGAAGCACACAGGACAGGAGCCTCCTGACAAGGTGTGGCAGCTCGTCCGTCGGGACAGAGATTGCTACTCATTTGATTGTAATGTTCCTTTGTCGCCCCTTATCTTCCATTATATCCATTCTGATGGCTAGGTGTGAGTGTAGTTGTTGCAGGTGTTGTATAGATTCTCCCTGGGAGGTCAGACTTTGTTTTAAATCAATAATGTTCTCATCTGAGGCCTGCAGTCCCAGTCACAGCCTGCATCTCCGTTTTCACCAAGTTTAGTTCTGCTGAGAACATATCTTGGAAGTGCTCTAGCAGGTCATATGTCTTGTTTCGTGATGTCTTGGGTGTTACCCGTTGGTTTGTGATTTGCGACCTATATTAGCGCCCTGCCGGGTAGGAGAGCGGTTCGGAGGTGATAAGGCTGTGTCAGAGCCGTCACTTCTCCAAGAGGTATTGCAGGGTTGCCGCGGGAGTCCCACGAGGTAGGCCCGACGTCCTTAGCGCCAGGTTTTTGCAACTGTGGTGTATAATGTATCCACCAGTTCCACGTGTGTTCCTATGCATGAGGGTGTGTATTGTACCCCGGGATTTTGTGCGTTTCGTGGGAAAATGTAAGTTTTTCTCATTTGGAGCTATGTGTAATGGCGTCTGCTCCTGAACATTGCCGGCTCCACTGCACAATTTTCTAAATACTTTCATTAGTCCCTGGCCTTATCTTATAGTTAGGATAGCCTTATGCCTATCCCACGCATCCTTAAACTCCTTTTACTGTGTTAACCTCTACCACTTCAGCTGGAAGGCTATTCCATGCATCCACTACCCTCTCAGTAAAGTAATAATTCCTGATATTATTTTTAAACCTTTGACCCTCTAATTTAAGACTATGTCCTCTTGTTGTGGTAGTTTTTCTTTTCTTATTTTGATAAGTAGGAAATGAGCAATTATCATCTTTTACAGTTTGAGATTCGAAATTAACAGTCAGCTCAGGATGATGTTGATTACATATAAATTTGGGAAAATATAAAGTAAAACCTTTTCAATTCCAAATTTTACATTTGCACAATTAATTATAAAATGTTCAGTCGCATATCTTTCTTTGTCTGTGTAACTGCCTAAATGGACTTGCAAAAATATGCATTGTTTTAAAAAAAAAAAAAAAAATCTACTGGGGATCTCACTGTATTCTGAAACCATCTTCTATTTAAGGTTTTCCTGCTCATAGCCTGGTGTTCTCTAATCCACAGTAACATTAAGATATCTGGGTGTCTGGATGTGACTACAGCTGCCCAGAGCCTCCTCTCGTTAAGCCCCAATTCCTTTCAAACATTTGTAAACAATGGAAAATAAACTACTGGCAGGATGAATTCCATCTGATTCCTATTAACTCTCCTTTTAAATGTATGTTTTAAGTATGTCTGATGTATATAGTTGTACGCAGCTTCTTAACATGAAATGTCATCAATGCACTGTCACTTAATTTAAAATTATTTTACATCTAACCCACAAACGCAGGGAATGTCTCCTCGCCGCAGCTGTAAGCGCCGTTCGATTTCATTCAACATTACCAACATGATCAGAGTCTTTTCACAGGGAACGAATGTGCGAAATTTGGGGAATTTAAATTCTAGGAGAAAATAGGTAAAATGGAAAGGTTCTTTGATTTAGGTATGATTTAATTTCAAATATTTTTGCCTAAAATTTATTTTTTAAACTTTTTTTAATGTTTTTGAATGGCGCACCGCTAGATGTCATTTTCACTCCAAGTGAAACATTCTGGAACCTCAGCCCAGCGCTGTTTGTAGTCATTCCGTATACATGCCGTGGTGACATAGCGGATTAGATACATCTCCACATTTAATATTTCACATAATTGCCAATAAGGGAAATGAAAATGAATTTTAAATTTTAGGTCAAAATAGGAGATCTGAGAATGTAACAGATTTGGAGAATTTTCCCAGTTCAGGCTTTTTTGACCCAAAATGTGAAATTCACTTTGAGGAATATTTATCAAGGTGATCTGAAAAGTGAAAATTAAATTGTCATTATTTTGATCATATTTATTGTAGAGTTCAAAATATGATTAAAAAATGGACTGTCATGTATTGAATTCCGTCCGTTTGCTCTGGAATATCCATTTTAGCATTGCCGTTAGACAGGAAAAAAAAGAATAAAAAGTGAGACTGGTCACTGTCAGAAAATAAAATACGTAAACTAAAATAAATGAGAGAAAACCAAAAATAGCCAACAATTAGCAAATATCGTAAGCACTCATGTGTGGCTTTAATGCTGGATATGTATTGGCATAAATACCAACATAAGAAAACCAATTACAGATTTAATAAACTCCATTAAATATTTTTAACAAAAATTCAATGTAAAAGTGATGGAACCACTCTGATAAATCTTCTTTTAAATTTAAACTGAATTTTCTTCAAGGGTGAAGTAACTGTAGAAGAAACGCAATTCAGAAAGCCGTAGCTAAGTGTGGGTAGGCAATCTGGGCTTTTAGTGTCTTCTCTCTCTAACCTTCATTTACAACCTATATGAACACAATCAGCAAATTGATGATAATTATGGGATACATTGTTAATTGTAAAATGATTAGAATTGATACTTTGACTTACTGCTACAATTTTGTTTTGTATACTTTTTGATACAATTGTGTAACAATCATTTGTTGCAAAGTAACAATGTATTTCATATTCTCATTTTCTCTTATGCTGTTTGTATAGTTTTACCCATGTTTAAAGGACCACTCTAGGCACCCAGACCACTTCAGCTTAATGAGGTGGTCTGGGTGCCTGGTCCATCTAGGGTTAACCCTTTTTCCATAAACATAGCAGTTTCAGAGAAACTGCTATGTTTAAAAATAGGGTTAATCCAGCCTCTAGTGGCTGTCTCATTGACAGCCGCTAGAGGGCTTCCGCGTTTCTCACTGTGAAAATCACAGTGAGAAGACGCCAGCGTCCATAGGAAAGCACTGTGAAAGCTTTCCTATGGACTGGGCTGAATGCGCACGCGCAGCTCCTGCTGCGCATGCGCATTTAGCCGAAGAGGAGGAGGAGGAGAGCTCCCCGCCCGGCGCTGGAAAAAGAGGTAAGTTTAACACCTTCCTCTCCATCCTGCCCAGCGGGAGAGGGTCCCTGAGGGTGGGGGCACCCTCAGGGCACTATAGTGCAAGGAAAACGAGTATGTTTGTTTGTTTTCCTGTCACTATAGTGGTCCTTTAATCTTCTTTTAGTGTTTTTTGCACTGTGTGGTTTTTGAAGGATTACACATTTATGGAAATAGTTTAATATAGAGTTTACTTTGAGGTTTTCTCTTTGACCCTTCCCAATTCCTCTAGCCAGTAGATTATGGTTTCAGCATTGCTTACAAGAAGATAAACTGCCTGGTATGAAAAGCTTCAATCATAATCTAACATTTTGCGTTTGGTTGCTGGTTTAAGCTTTTGGACTCTTGTTTCTCCTGTTGGATTGGATTAATAGATGGTAAGTTTTATTTTACACAGTTTGGTGTTACTGTATGTGTGCCTCCTCCTGTTCACTATTTTGTACTAAATAGTTTACCTGACGAGGGTTACAGAAGGCTGGCCTCGATGTTCGGAGTTAAATAATAATTCACTCATAGCGGGATCTATTCTTCGCTTTTAAAAATAACATCTTGTCCCTAGGGCGTATTCAGAATCCAGAGCGTAAATTATATTTTATTATTATTGGCATTTATATAGCACAAACCTATGCCGGAGCGCTTTACAATGTAATGTAAATACAGCCACTAATACAGGAACAAGAAGTTAAGGAGGACCTTTACAATCTGGAAGGTAAATATCTGGGTTAAATATTTTAATATTGTATCTTCAGCTCTGCTAATGCTGAATGAGGTGGCTGAAAAATCTTTAAAACATTTATAACCTCCCCCACAACCCAAAACCATACTTTCAATCAACATTAAAGTAATTCTCTCCTCATGTTTAATGCTAAGGTTTTATTATAAAAGTTTTTTTTTTGTGTGTGTGTTCCGGAACCAATTGTGAACAAACATTGCAAGGAAAACCCAGGAACATTGTAACATGTTGGCAAAATGTGCCATGTGTTTTGAACAATATCTCCTGCTTACTGCACTATACACCAGGTTAAATCAGAATTGTAAATCCGGTTTATCTCTAACCAGTGCCCTCTACTGGAGCTGTTGCACTATGACACATATATAGTAACTGCATTCATTCCATACAGTACTGTGTATCACGCATGTCAAACTCAAAGTCTGGATCGGGCCATATAAACAAGGTTTAAGTTTAAAAATGCCGCAAAAAAAATACCGTAAATTTTCATAGAAACATAGGTTTATTTTAAAAAGTACAGTATAAAAAAATCCCCAGCATCCCCCTCACCCTGTGCTGACACACACATACTCATTGACAAACATACTCCGACACACACATACTCATAGACAGACATACATACTGACAGACAAACTGATAGACACACACATACAGACTCCCTGAAAGACACACACTGACTGAGACACATACTGACAGACACTCACTGATAGACACATACACACGCTGACAGACACACTAACACATTCTTGCACACACATCCATTTTTTTTTTTATTGCTCCTTACCTTCTGGAGACGATGTGGGGCATCTCCCTGGGGTCCTTCCTGCTCTTTACTGCTCCCTCGCGCGGTTTAGTGATGCCGAGTGCCGGAATATGACATCATCATATCCCGGCGCCCGGCTTCACTTCAGTCAGCATGTGCGAGGGAGCAGTGAGGAGAAGGAAGGCTGAGCTCCCTTGCTGGTTCTCCTCCCCAGCCGGGGAAAGCAGGTGTCTACTCTGCTATAACACCAGCATGTACTCTCGGCCCACTAGGACCATCTTTGGGACCCGGCCAGCCGCATGTTTGACATGCTTGGTGTATATAAACAGACAGAAAACACGTCCAGTCTACAGAAGTACATAGGGTCATTTACAGAGCTTGGCTTCATGGAGAAATGACTAGAGAATTGTATATTCTATTTTAAAATAGTCAGGCTGGGAAGATGGCTGAATTGAAGAATTTTATTCTTTGGCTATTCTCACCTATAAATGCCAATTACCTGGTCAGATCCCCATCATTCCCTATTTAAAGAAGGCATTTCGGTAATGTAGGAAGTTTTTTTTATATCTGAATTGTCCACGCTATGATAAATTTCATACCAGTGCCTAAACTGACCACAATCTTTGTAATCCAATGTGTTTCAGAGTGTGACTACATTGTGCTTTATTACATGGGAGATGGGATATAGTGTGACTGCGTGGTGCTGTATCACGTGGGAGATGGGATATAGAGTGCGACTGTGTGGCGCTGTATCACGTGGGAGATGGGATATAGAGTGCGACTGCGTGGCGCTGTATCACGTGGGAGATGGGATACAGAGTGCGACTGCGTGGCGCTGTATCCCGTGGGAGATGGGATACAGAGTGTGACTGCATTGTGCTTTATTAATTTTATAATAATAATTAATAATATTGTGTATAAATCAATTCATTGCTCTGAGTACATTAAACATGTCTATTCACACAACTCCCAGAATCCTCTGCTCCATGCAGCATGGCATACCATAGCTCACTGCCGGAAGTGACGTTTCACCTCCAGACGCCATGCTTATCGTGGGCAATGCAGCAGTTCCCTTTCTGATATTTTTTAGTTTGTGTAGAATTTTACGCTTTCCATCCTCGGAGTGATAGTGCTCTATTTCCCCTTGTTAGAGCGGGTTATTGTTTATTTTTTTTGCCTTTGCCCATAACAAAGACAACTGTTTCCGGTTCCGGTCGTATAAGTGACGCAATCACGTCCCCGTGTTGTGATTGGCTGGCATGACGTTGGCGGCCGGTGATTGGCCGGATCTGCGGCTGCGCAGTGAGGGCTCCGCGGCTGTGAGTGCCAGCTGCTGGGGATCCGGTACCGGGCTCGGTGTCAGCATGTTCCGCAGGAAGCTCCAGGCCCTGGACTATCACAACCCCGCCGGCTTCAACTGTAAAGGTGGGTCCTGCCAGCCCCGCCCCCCCTGTTACCGGGGTAACCGCCGCTCCCACAATGCATTGCGCGCTCACTGTGACCTGAGTGTCACCCCAGCACCATGTGTACCCCAATACAGAGTGTACCCCAATATATACTGCACCCCAATATATACTGCACCCCAATATATACTGCACCCCAACACAGAGAGTACCCCAATATATACTGCACCCCAATATATACTGCACCCCAACACAGAGAGTACCCCAATATATACTGCACCCCAATATATACTGCACCCCAATAGCATGTGTACTCCTATATATACTGCACCCCAATATATACTGCAGCCCAACACAGAGTGTACCCCAATATATACTGCACCCCAATACAGAGAGTACCCCAATATATACTGCACCCCAATACAGAGAGTACCCCAATATATACTGCACCCCAATATATACTGCACCCCAACACAGAGTGTACCCCAATATATACTGCAACCCAATACATACTGCAACCCAATACAGAGTGTACCCCAATACAGAGTGTACCCCAATATATACTGCACCCCAATACAGAGTGTACCCCAATATATACTGCACCCCAACACCATGTCTACCCCAATATATACTGCACCCCAATATATACTGCACCCCAATACAGAGTCTACCCCAATATATACTGCACCCCAATACAGAGTCTACCCCAATATATACTGCACCCCAATACAGAGTGTACCCCAATATATACTGCACCCCAATACAGAGTCTACCCCAATATATACTGCACCCCAATATATACTGCACCCCAATATATACTGCACCCCAACACAGAGAGTACCCCAATATATACTGCACCCCAATATATACTGCACCCCAATAGCATGTGTACTCCTATATATACTGCACCCCAATATATACTGCAGCCCAACACAGAGTGTACCCCAATATATACTGCACCCCAATACAGAGAGTACCCCAATATATACTGCACCCCAATACAGAGAGTACCCCAATATATACTGCACCCCAATATATACTGCACCCCAACACAGAGTGTACCCCAATATATACTGCAACCCAATACATACTGCAACCCAATACAGAGTGTACCCCAATATATACTGCACCCCAATACAGTGTACCCCAATATATACTGCACCCCAACACCATGTCTACCCCAATATATACTGCACCCCAATATATACTGCACCCCAATACAGAGTCTACCCCAATATATACTGCACCCCAATACAGAGTCTACCCCAATATATACTGCACCCCAATACAGAGTGTACCCCAATATATACTGCACCCCAATACAGAGTCTACCCCAATATATACTGCACCCCAATATATACTGCACCCCAATATATACTGCACCCCAATATATACTGCACCCCAACACAGAGAGTACCCCAATATATACTGCACCCCAACACAGAGAGTACCCCAATATATACTGCACCCCAACACAGAGAGTACCCCAATATATACTGCACCCCAATATATACTGCACCCCAATAGCATGTGTACTCCTATATATACTGCACCCCAATATATACTGCAGCCCAACACAGAGTGTACCCCAATATATACTGCACCCCAATACAGAGAGTACCCCAATATATACTGCACCCCAATACAGAGAGTACCCCAATATATACTGCACCCCAATATATACTGCACCCCAACACAGAGTGTACCCCAATATATACTGCAACCCAATACATACTGCAACCCAATACAGAGTGTACCCCAATATATACTGCACCCCAATACAGTGTACCCCAATATATACTGCACCCCAACACCATGTCTACCCCAATATATACTGCACCCCAATATATACTGCACCCCAATACAGAGTATACCCCAATATATACTGCACCCCAATACAGAGTCTACCCCAATATATACTGCACCCCAATACAGAGTGTACCCCAATATATACTGCACCCCAATATATACTGCACCCCAATATATACTGCACCCCAATATATACTGCACCCCAATATATACTGCACCCCAATATATACTGCACCCCAATACAGAGTCTACCCCAATATATACTGCACCCCAATACAGAGTGTACCCCAATATATACTGCACCCCAATACAGAGTGTACCCCCAATATATACTGCACCCCAATACAGAGCCTACCCCAATATATACTGCACCCCAATACAGAGCGTACCCCAATATATACTGCACCCCAATACAGAGTGTACCCCAATACAGAGTGTACCCCAATACAGAGTGCACCCCAATACATACTGCACCCCAATACAGACTGCACCCCAATACAGACTGCACCCCAATACAGACTGCACCCCAATACAGAGTGTACCCCAATATATACTGCACCCCAGCACCATGTGTACTCCAATATATACTGCACCCCAGCACCATGTGTACTCCAATATATACTGCACCCCAGCACCATGTGTACCCCAATATATACTGCACCCCAGCACCATGTGTACTCCAATATATACTGCAGCCCAACACAGTGTACCCCAATATATACTGCACCCCAGCACCATGTGTACCCCAATATATACTGCACCCCAGCACCATGTGTACTCCAATATATACTGCACCCCAGCACCATGTGTACCCCAATATATATTGCACCCCAACACAGAGTGTACCCCAATATATACTGCACCCCAATAGAGTGTACCCCAATATATACTGCACCCCAGCACCATGTGTACCCCAATATATATTGCACCCCAACACAGAGTGTACCCCAATATATACTGCACCCCAACACAGAGTGTCCCCAATATATACTGCACCCCAATACAGAGTGTACCCCAATATATACTGCACCACAATACAGAGTGTCCCCAATATATACTGCACCCCAGCACCATGTGTACCCCAATATATACTGCACCCCAACACAGAGTGTACCCCAATATATACTGCACCCCAGCACCGTGTGTACCCCAATATATACTGCACCCCAACAGAGTGTACCCCAATATATACTGCACCACGTGTACCCCAATATATACTGCACCCAACACAGTGTACCCCAATATATACTGCACCCCAGCACCATGTGTACCCCAATATATACTGCACCCAACACAGTGTATCCCAATATATACTGCACCCCAGCACCATGTGTATCCCAATATATACTGCACCCCAGCACCATGTGTACCCAAATATATACTGCACCCCAACACCATGTGTACACCAATATATACTGCATCCCAACACCATGTGTACCCCAATATATACTGTACCCCAATATATACTGCACCCCAATATATACTGCACCCCAACACCATGTGTACCCCAATATATACTGCACCCCAACACCATGTGTACCCCACTATATACTGCACCCCAATATATACTGCACCCCAACACCATGTGTACCCCAATATATACTGCACCCCAACACAATGTGTTCCCACGAATACTGGACCACCCATACTCCTGATATATACTGAACCCCAACGCAATGTGTACCCCGAACACTGAACCCCAACACAATGTGTACCCCGAATACGCTAATATATACTGAATCCCCAATATATACTGAACCTTAAAGTGACACTATAGGCACCCAGACCACTTTAGCTCAATTGAGTTTTGGGTACACAGGCTGCGTTTTTCTTATCCCTCTTTTTGTTTTGTTTTTTATATTTCCCCCTTTGTTTTCTCCCCTCCCTCTGTTTCTTTCTCCCCTTACACAGACCCTCTGTGTGTCTTCCCCAGCCCCTCTCCATAAATGAAGCTAATTACAGCGTGGCACTGGGTCTATTATATTATATACAGCCTGGTCTCTGATACCAGGGATTGTAACGGAGCCCATTCTAGCCTGGCACTGGGTCTATTATGTTATATACAGCCTGGTCTCTGCTACCAGTGATTGTAATAGGGTTAGAGTCTGGCACTGGGTCTATTATATTTTATACAGCCTGGTCTCTGCTACCAGGGAATGCAATGGAGCTAATTAGAGTCTGGCACTCGGTCTGTTATATACAGCCTGGCACTGGGTCTGTTATATTATATACAGCCTGGCACTGGGTCTGTTATATCATATACAGCCTGGTCTCTGCTACCAGGGATTGTAACGGAGCTAATTAAAGTCTGGCACTGGGTCTGTTATATTATATACAGCCTGGCACTGGGTCTGTTATATACAGCCTGGCACTGGGTCTGTTATATTATATACAGCCTGGCACTGGGTCTGTTATATTATATACAGCCTGGCACTGGGTCTATTATATTATATACAGCCTGGCACTGGGTCTGTTATATTATATACAGCCTGGCACTGGGTCTGTTATATTATATACAGCCTGGCACTGGGTCTGTTATATTATATACAGCCTGGCACTGGGGCTGTTATATTATATACAGCCTGGCACTGGGTCTGTTATATTATATACAGCCTGGCACTGGGTCTGTTATATTATATACAGCCTGGCACTGGGTCTATTATATTATATACAGCCTGGCACTGGGTCTGTTATATTATATACAGCCTGGTCTCTGCTACCAGGGATTGTAACGGAGCCCATTATAGCCTGGCACTGGGTCTGTTATATTATATACAGCCTGGCACTGGGTCTATTATATTATATACAGCCTGGCACTGGGTCTATTATATTATATACAGCCTGGCACTGGGTCTGTTATATTATATACAGCCTGGCACTGGGTCTGTTATATTATATACAGCCTGGCACTGGGTCTGTTATATTATATACAGCCTGGCACTGGGTCTATTATATTATATACAGCCTGGTACTGGGTCTGTTATATTATATACAGCCTGGCACTAGGTCTGTTATATACAGCTGGCACTGGGTCTGTATATTATATACAGCCTGGCACTGGGTCTGTTATATTATATCCACAGCCTGGCACTGGGTCTATTATGTTATATACAGCCTGGCACTGGGTCCTGGTATATTATATACAGCCACAAGCTTTGGGTCTGTTATGTGCTTCTGGCCACAGCACTGGGTCATTATATTATATACAGCTTTGGCACTGGGTCTGTTATATTATATACAGCCTGGTCTCTGCTACCAGGGATTAATAGCGAACTGCAGTATAGCCTGGCATGGGTCTGTTATGTTACAAGCCTGGCACTGGGTCTATTATGGCCATATACAGCCTGGCACTGGGTCTGTTATATTATACAACCTGGCACTGGGTCTGTTATGTGTATGCAACCTGGCACTGGGTCTGTTATATTATACAGCCTGGCACTGGGTCTATTATATTATATGACCTGGCACTGGGTCTGTTATGTCATATACAGCCTGGCACTGGGTCTATTATATTATATACAGCCTGGCACTGGGTCTGTTATATTATATACAGCCTGGCACTGGGTCTGTTATATTATATACAGCCTGGCACTGGGTCTGTTATATTATATACAGCCTGGCACTGGGTCTGTTATATTATATACAGCCTGGCACTGGGTCTGTTATATTATATACAGCCTGGCACTGGGTCTATTATATTATATACAGCCTGGCACTGGGTCTGTTATATTATATACAGCCTGGCACTGGGTCTATTATATTATATACAGCCTGGCACTGGGTCTGTTATATTATATACAGCCTGGCACTGGGTCTGTTATATTATATACAGCCTGGCACTGGGTCTGTTATATTATATACAGCCTGGTCTCTGCTACCAGGGATTGTAACGGAGCCCATTATAGCCTGGCACTGGGTCTATTAAAGTGTCTGAAATGCATTCAGTGTTTTTATTTATTTTGTTTTCTCCCCTTTTTACCCAGTAATTTTATACAAAATTTTCTGTTACCTTTTTGGGGAAACGTTCCATGTAACCTGTATCTTAATGAAATGTTTTTCTCCTGTATTGATTTTGAAAGATTTCTGATTGTGGCATATGTGCACTAAGTGCAATATAGCGATTCTAAGGATGATGGGTATTGTAATCCGCTAGTAACTGGAGGATGGAATTTTTAGGGAATCAACTAAATGAATATTCTGGGCCGAAAATGACTGTTTTCCCCAAATGATTTTAAATAGTTTTTTCTATAATTTTATTATAATGACTTTTTTAATTGTCAGCAACTTACAGTGAATTTCAAATTTTAAGCCATAATAACTAAACGAGGAGAAAAAAAAATCAAACCAACCAATTTTTAGTTTGGCAAATTTGGCCTCAAATAAGAAAATTAATTTAATGTCCAGGTTTGGCCCTCTGACCCCCACTGCTGCTCTCCTCCCTCAGGCCAGCAGGGGACAGGCTGTCGTTTCCCCCATAGACAGGTGTTTTCACCCCCCATTTGAGGTTGCAGCTTCTGGGGATGTCTGGTGGGGTGGTCACCCAGTGCTGGGACAGGTCCCCTGAGGAGCTGAATGACTAAGCCAGGAAGCCGAGCTGGTAGTCCTTGCCTAGGTGGCTCCCCGGTACCCCGAGCGTACCCTCAGGTCTGTGTGGCTGCATGCTCTCCGGAACAGCTTCACGGCTCCCGCGTCACATGACCACCCAGCACCTGCCTTCCGCGACACCTGCCAGATAGCGCTCTGTGACACGGGTTACAAACACTAGGGAACGCTGCTCATGGCTTGTTCTACTTCTGTGCGCCACGTTTGACTGCCGGTCAGATAAGTAGTTTATATAGTTTACATACATATACCCGGGCGGTGTCATTTCTGGCACATTTGGACAATTTTCTGGCCGAAATGGGATAGGCCTATTTTCAGCTGAAAATTTCGGCAGCCAAAATTTCGGTGCATCCCTAGTGTTTTTATATCATGTTATATGTACTTTGGGAAAATAAGTATTCTAAAGACATGCACAGATGAAATAATTGCTATATTCACATCCTCCACATGGTGGCACCATTGAGCCAACATAGTATGGCATAGTGTTAAGTGACCTTAGGCCCTAGTTGTCAGTATATTTTGATGAACATTTTAAAGCTGCCTTTCATTATTTAGTTTGATTATGGGGCTGTTGGTTTAAAGTGGCGCTGTCCACGTCTGGGGACTAATTGGCAAAGACCTCAGATTGTGACATCACCAGTGACTTGGGCGGTAAGGAAAGGTGAGGTTTACTGAACACTGTTCCTTGCAGAGTTGCCATCTTTTCTGGATAGTTAGTTCTCTCCAGCTCCTGACCCTTCATTGAGCCAAGATCAGTACAGCATTGTATTAAAGGATCCTTCCAAGTACCATAACCACTACAGCTGGTTTGTAAACTAGGTTCGGTGCCTTGATTGGCAGAGCTATCCTTTGTACATGCATTTTTCTGTAGCTCAGATCGATCAACACAAAGAAATCTCAGTCCATGTCCATTTATCTAAATTTAATTTATAAAAATCTCATCCGTTAAAACCCAGTTTCAGAACGAGTGCATGGTACACTCTGCACCATAAACTTTGCAAGAAGTGGTTATGGTACTTGTAGGAATACTGTAAAGGAAAACTTTATCCATACATACATATATTTTAACACTTACTATTGGCAAACAAGTGCTAAAACGGACCATTTAGCCCACCTCTTGTTACTGCTCGGTATTGTCCAAACAATTGCTTCTCATAGTCTTATGTTTAAGAAATGTGTGTGTTTAAAGGAAGAGTGTCACTTCTATGGGAATTACACCGTTGAATAAAACCATAGAAAGTTACTAAAGGAATACTTTAGTGCAGCGGTTCCCAAAGTGTGGGTCGCAGGGCGATTCCCAGTGGGTCGTGCTGACCCACACATCCAGGGACGCCGGGGAGTCAGGCAAGCAGACTGATGAGTCAGGCTCTCGGCCCGTGACCGCGGGCCCGACACCAGGAGGGGGCCAGACAGCTTGCCCAGGATGCCGCTGGGCTCCCTCCAATCAGTCTGCCCAGCACCTCCGGTCTGCAGCTCCGCGGGGTGCAGAACGCAGACCGTGTTATAGAAGTCTCGCGAGCACCCAGAGCGTCACCATGGCAACACTCTGGGAACTCGCCAGACTTTTATTACACGGTCTACAGCTCTGCACCCGGCGGAGGTGAGACACTGGACCTCCAGGGATGTTTAAAGAAGGCAGGGCACAGAGCCCAAACAATGCCACCCCCCTCCCCCCAATGTAACCCCTTCTCTGCCCTCTTCCTCCCCCACTGTAACCCCTTCTCTGTCTGCCTCCCTCCCCCCCACTGTAACCCCTTCTCTGCCTGCCCTCCTCCCCCACTGTAACCCTTCTCTGCTCCCCTCCCCCAATGTAACCTTCTATGCCTGCTCCCCAATGTAAACCCCTTCACTGCCTCCTCCCTCCCCCACTGGAACCCCTTCTCTGCCTACACCCCCCCTGCCAACCCCCTCTCTCCTGCTCCTCCACCCCACTGTAACCCCTTCTCTCTCTGCCCCTCTCCCACACTGTAACATTTTCTCCCTGCCCCCATACTGTCGCCTTTTCTCCCCCTGCCCCCCACACTGTAACCCTTTCTCCCCCTGCCTGCCTACTGTGACCCTTTCTCACACTGCCCACCACACTGTTACCAGTACACACACTCCCTCCCACACTGTCACCCTCACCTCCTGTCTCTGTGTGTCCTTTTGTGTCTGTGTGTATCTGTGTTCATGAGTGTCTGTGTATCTGTGTGTTGTAAACTAAGTGTCATTGTGTGTATCGCTGTGTCAATGTATGTGTGTGTGTATACACTGCACACATACTCCATACAAAAAACATGCTTACATTGAAACACACATTGTGTATATTTTATAAACACAATATACACACACTGCATCCACTACACACACACACTGCAATCAATGCAAACATTACATACAAACACACCCTGCATTAAAACACTAAAATGATCTACAAACACCCATTCATTCAAACACCAACACTACACACAAAGCACACCTGCATTTAAAGTCCTACACCACATATACAAACACCATTACATTCCAATAGCAACGGTACATACAAATACACCCATACACGCACACATGTACTTAAACATGCTTACATTCAAACACTGCTCACAAATCTAACCATGTGCAAATGGTAGATCTCCATCTGGCATAGCATTGTTGAAGTTCTCCGACAGATGCAGGTCTACCTTTTGGCTACACTTTCACTAGATGGGGGCCCAGAAAACATACTTGCACCAGGGTCCTCTCTTCATTAGTTCCACCACTGGGATAATCAACGTGAGGTGCCTGGATGAAAGAGCAGGACACAGCACTTCTGAGTCTGAGTAAGCAGTTGTATGTCTCTAAAACTGATTGCCATAATGTGCAAAGTTTCTGCCTCTAAAACTGCCATGTTATGCCAATTGTATGCATCTGAAGCTGATTGCCATGGTGTGCCAAGTTTATGTATTTAAAGCTGCCATGATGTTCCAGTTGTATGCCTCTAAAACTGCCATGGTGTGCCAATTGTATGCATCTGAAGCTGATTGCCATGGTGTGCCAAGTTTATGTATTTAAAGCTGCCATGATGTTCCAATTGTATGCCTCTAAAACTGATTGCCATGGTGTGCCAATTGTATGCCTCTAAAGCGGATTTCCACGGTGTGCCAATTGTATGCATCTAAAGCGGATTTCCACGGTGTGCCAATTGTATGCCTCTAAAGCGGTTTGCCATGGTGTTCACGTTTTAAAATACACATTAAAAGCAAGTGGTTCTCGAAAAATTACAGTTTTGAAAAGTGGGTCTCGGCCCATAAAAGTTTGGGAAGCCCTGCTATGGTGTCAGGATTACAAACTTGTATTCCTGAGATCATATTCCTAGAGTGGCTGTTTATGTCGTAGTAAAAAGGTGACTTTAATCCCCTTGTCTCACATGCCAGTCTCGCTGCAGCTGGTCCTGCCTCCATGACTGAGATCATCAGTCTTGAAGATCTCAACCAATCCGGTGCTTTCCCTTAGGAAAGCATTGGTAGGCTCTTGTGCATGTGTGGTAAACCGGCACTCTGCTCCAATCAGAATCAGCGCATCTGATGGGGGAAGAGGAAGGTCCTCCAGGAGAGGGTGGAGACACTGAATGTCAGTCACACTGTGCAGCTCTGCCTCAGGAAGCACCTCTAGCAGCCATCTGAGTGGTGGCCAGTGAGAGTATGCCCAGGCTGTAATGTAAACACTGCATTTTCTCAGAAACAAACCGTGCTTACAGCAAAAAGCCTGCAGGGACAGGATGCCCTCACCAAACTATAGTGTCCCTTTAATTTTATTTCTCACACCTCACAAATGCATATTTATTTAATATAAGAATCACTAAATATAATAATGATCCTAAGAAGCTGTTATTTGGTAAATACAGTGATTACATAGCTGGCTTCACTGGGGCATTGATGCAGGGTGCTTATAAATAGTTCTCAGAAATGAAACCACTTAAAGAATAGATAAATGTATGGACTATCCAGTGATCTCACACCTGGCCTTATTAATACACTGTAGCATTATATATTCACAATAAGTGTATTTTGCCTAAAACATCCTGTTTTGTAACATTTCATTTTCAGATGAAACAGAGTTTCGAAACTTCATTGTTTGGTTAGAAGATCAGAAAATTCGACACTACAAGATCGAAGAGCGGGGTAATTTGAGAAATATACATAGCAGCGAATGGCCCCGCCATTATGACAAGGTATATAGTATAGTTAAAAAAAAAAAAAACTCTTTCTCTGCATATTTTTTGTAATTTATTTGCTTGGCAGTTTGTGTTTTTTTTTTTCACTAAATATCAAATTCTATGAATTTCAAATCTGATTTGCAAGATCCAGGCTTCATTTTTCAATTTCCTGTGCTATAAAGCTAACCTATTCCAGTCTGCATTTGGTTCTGTTCTCCTGAATTCTCTTAGTATATAGTATACTCTTTTGCACCAAACATCCTTATAAACTTACCTTCACAGCAGTTTGGAAGGAGTCTGCTTATGCAGGCCTAGATTTTTTTCTTTTATGCTCATCAGGCAATATTTTTTAGGCCCTGCCGGGGTTCAGCCTCTAAGCCCTGAAGACCCAACAAGACGCACTTAGAAGAAGTGGCTAGTCTGGGTACCTCCTTTAGTGACCGGGGGTCGGACCCAACCTCTCCCTCAAGGGAAGAAAATGGTCCACTGCATGCCAGGGTTCAGACTCTTATCCCTGAAGACCCAGCAACAGGCCAGCTTGGGAACCCCCTCAGGGGATGAATGTGATATACTGCCTACACGAAGCCAGGCCAGGGTTCAGCTTCTTATCCCTGAAGACCCAGCAAACAGCACATGTGTAAGAGTTGCCAGCCTGGGTACCTCCTTCAGCAATCAGGAGTCTAACCTACCTCTCTACCTGAGGGGATGACAGCGGTACACTGCATACATGAGGCCCAACAGAGTTGTGAATACCGGGGTATACCTATTCTATGTATTCCACCTTTTATGGTGATGATGAATGGCATATGGGGTACACATGGAAGCCTATAGTTTAAACAGTTTTAGGCTGTCAGTTGTTCAAATCCCCATTTTGCCGCTGAAACACAGGTCTGCAACGGTTCAGGCCACAGCCTCAGTATATGTACCCACTATATGCTCTATGTATGAGTTACTGTGAGGACACAGCCTCAGTATATGTACCCACTATATGCTGTATGTATGAGTTACTGTGAGGACACAGCCTCAGTATATGTACCCACTATATGCTCTATGTATGAGTTACTGTGAGGACACAGCCTCAGTATATGTACCCACTATATGCTCTATGTATGAGTTACTATGAGGACACAGCCTCAGTATATGTACCCACTATATGCTCTATGTATGAGTTACTGTGAGGACACAGCCTCAGTATATGTACCCACTATATGCTCTATGTATGAGTTACTATGAGGACACAGCCTCAGTATATGTACCCACTATATGCTCTATGTATGAGTTACTGTGCGGACACAGCCTCAGTATATGTACCCACTATATGCTGTATGTATGAGTTACTATGAGGACACAGCCTCAGTATATGTACCCACTATATGCTGTATGTATGTGTACTGTGAGGACACGGCCTCAGTATATGTACCCACTATATGCTGTATGTATGAGTTACTGTGAGGACACAGCCTCAGTATATGTACACTATAATGCTGTGTATGAGTTACTGTGAGGACACAGAGCATATAGTTGAATTATCTGAACTGTCTCACAATATCCTCATACATAAATAATTATACTGAGGCTTATGTATGAGTTACTATGAGGACACAGCCTCAGTATATGTACCCACTATAGGCTCTATATATGAGTTACTGTGAGGACACGGCCTCAGTATATGTACCCACTATATGCTGTATGTATGAGTTACTGTGAGGACACAGCCTCAGTATATGTACCCACTATATGCTCTGTGTATGAGTTACTGTGAGGACACAGCCTCAGTATATGTACCCACTATATGCTCTATGTATGAGTTACTATGAGGACACAGCCTCAGTATATGTACCCACTATATGCTCTATGTATGAGTTACTGTGAGGACACAGCCTCAGTATATGTACCCACTATATGCTCTGTGTATGAGTTACTGTGAGGACACAGCCTCAGTATATGTACCCACTATATGCTGTATGTATGAGTTACTGTGAGGACACAGCCTCAGTATATGTACCCACTATATGCTCTATGTATGAGTTACTGTGAGGACACAGCCTCAGTATATGTACCCACTATATGCTCTATGTATGAGTTACTGTCAGGACACAGCCTCAGTATATGTACCCACTATAGGCTGGCAATAGCCAGCAGTTACTGTGAGGACACAGAGCATGGTGGGTACCTCTCTGAACTGTCTCACAGCTCAACTCATACATGAGTGAGTGCACATACTACTGAGCTGTCTATTATCTACATACAACATATAAAATGAACACCTCTCTATGTATGATTACTGTGGACTGGCCTCAGTATATGTACCCATGCTGTATGTATGAGTTACTGTGAGGACTCTGCCTCAGTATATGTACCCACTATATGCTCTATGTATGAGTTACTGTGAGGACACTGCCTCAGTATATGTACCCACTATATGCTCTATGTATGAGTTACTATGAGGACACTGCCTCAGTATATGTACCCACTATATGCTGTATGTATGAGTTACTGTGAGGACTCTGCCTCAGTATATGTACCCACTATATGCTGTATGTATGAGTTACTGTGAGGACTCTGCCTCAGTATATGTACCCACTATATGCTGTATGTATGAGTTACTGTGAGGACACAGCCTCAGTATATGTACCCACTATATGCTCTATGTATGAGTTACTGTGAGGACACAGCCTCAGTATGTGTACCCACTATATGCTCTATGTATGAGTTACTGTGAGGACACAGCCTCAGTATATGTACCCACTATATGCTGTATGTATGAGTTACTGTGAGGACACTGCCTCAGTATATGTACCCACTATATGCTGTATGTATGAGTTACTGTGAGGACACGGCCTCAGTATATGTACCCACTATATGCTCTATGTATGAGTTACTGTGAGGATACGGCCTCAGTATATGTACCCACTATATGCTCTATGTATGAGTTACTGTAAGGACACAGCCTCAGTATATGTACCCACTATAGGCTCTATGTATGAGTTACTGTGAGGACACTGCCTCAGTATATGTACCCACCATATGCTCTGTGTATGAGTTTATCTGGAGATTGGAATACATTACTAGATTTTTCCATGTTTTATTATTTACTATAAATGTTTTTATGTTTCAGTACGTGCAGGATGTAAATGCTCCCTTCAAAGCAGAGGAACGCCAAGAAACCATTGATTGGCTCCTGGGTCTGGCTGTGCGTCTAGAATATGGTGATAATGGTATGTTGCGCAATGGGTGAAATATTTTCGCATAAAAAAAAAATTGCAAAACAGCATTTCTGTATTTGCCCATCACAGTTGATGGACCATAAGGAGTGGTTTTACAATTGTTTAAATACATGTTTCAGCTTGGCCATTATTGATCTAAGAATGTGCAATTTCCTTAACATTTCTCTGCAACGAATAAAACCTCCATCTATATGTATGCGAGAGATATATAGCAGGTACTATCAGGGCTCTCTGCAGGGCAAGGTGAAATATGGGGCCCTGGAATGAGGCACCTGTGACAGGGAGGGGTGTGAAGACACGGGAGTTGCATGCATGCACGTGTGTGAACTCTGCTCATGTTTTGCTTGTAGGAACCCCTTGCGTGTTTCATTTTTAAAATTAAGCGCAGCACCCCTCATCACACCTTTACGTTTAATACGACAAAGCTGTGCGGTGGCTCAAAAATGCCAAACTCAACAAAAAGAAATGTATTAATCCTTGCACCTGCGCCTTGTCCATAGTTTGTTTAAAACGTTGCATAAATTGTTTTGATAATTTGTGTATGAACTGTTTGAATGCTGGGATTATAGATTTTCTTTCCTTTTTATTCAGTTTCCAAGTATCAGAATGCAAAGCCTCTCGGTACAGAAAATTCAAAGCCTTCAGAACCGCTCATTAATCTGGATGGTAAGAGAAACACATCACTGATATCCTCTTAATGGATGTGAGTTTGCGTGACGTTCAGCATTCCTGAGTGTATTATGTTGTGTGGCTAACAGTCGGTGTAGTGTGTAATGTAAAGTTTTTCAGGTGTTTAGATCTAAATACACGATGTTCCAATGAGACACTGTGATATTTATTTACTAAAGACTAAACAGATTGGCTAACCGGCCAGAGGCATTGTCACCAGATGTTCCCTACTGTTTAATCAAGTTCTATTTCATTTCCTGTACAAACTGCTGAAATGAAATAATCTCACTTGTTGAAATGTTGCCACCCGTGCCGTTGAAAGATCCATCCTTAATCCTTTTGGCTGGAATCCAAATAACATACATGATATTAACCTAATTACCCCATATTTCCTGTGATCTTCAATAAAGGATTACTCAGAACAAGGGCTTTAGAAGAAATGACATTAAAAAGAATAGAGCATATTCCTGGTAAACTATTAATTGGAATCTGATCAATATGTGCCTCCTCAGACATTATTGGCTCCCCAAAGAGGGTTTAACAACCTGTTTATGGGACGCTTGCTTTTCGTGTTCTATGTGAAAAGCTGCACTGAATGCCGTGGCTAGACCAGGGCTGCCCAATAGGTAAATCCCCAGATGTTGTAGAACTGTAACTCCATTGATGCTTTGCATGCATTTAGAGTGACATTGCATCATGGGAGTTGTAGTTCCACAATATCTTGGGATCTACCTATTGGGCAGCCCTGTTCTAGACAATTAAGCAAATGATGATTCTACACACAAAAAAAAATGTGTTTAACGAGACACCATGTCTGCCGAACTTTACAAGGAGTCAGCAGTGAGTGTGCGGATCTATCCTTAACCTGCGTCTTGATTTCTCTTTTAATGTAGTGAGTAATCCAGACTTTAAAGCTGGGGTCACAGCTCTGGCGAACCTCCTGCAAATACAGCGACATGACGACTACCTTGTCATGCTGAAAGTAAGTGGTTTCCCTTTCCTATACTAAGATTTGGTGAGCAGATCCCATCGTTGTATATTTGTAGGTTCTGTTCCTGGCTATACAGATAACTAACATGAAATGTATGATTTCTGCTTTTTCGAAACCTGTCTATATAGAGATCAATTTATAATGATTACTGTTGAAGTGTAATAAATTAGGTGCTAAAAGCTACTGAATCAATTTTCTGCAGGCTAAATAAATTGCTAATCGTGTTAACAAAATAACTTAGCGCAAACTTTTACTAAAATGGATTTCTAACAGAATATTCATCTCCCTCTGCAGCGAGCCACATGGAATAGATACGTATTTTGTTTTATTTTAATCGTGTTTAGGGAAACCGATAGAATTTAGCTATTGATTGCTTTATTAATATAAGCGTGATCCACTAGTCTGCTGTTATTTTAGGCAGCCAGCCTTTCTCCCAATTCCTCTGTCGTTTTTGGGTTTTCCAAATTTTTATATCTTTTTATCTTTTCTTGATAATCTTTGTGAGAAATTCCCAAAGATCCAATACATCACACTTTAATGGCGATCTTAAACTTTATTTTTAAAGCCTGTCGAGTCTTTTGGATTTCCTATCCATAAAACGTTAAAAAGGGCGCTGTAAGCAGCATGTACTGCCATACCATATGGTAGTGATTATGGTGCTGGGAGTCTGTGGGGGATGCCGTCTTGCCAGGTTTAGTCAAACCTTTCTTTTCCTTTTGCTTATTGGGTGTCTGTAGCGCTGGGTACCCTGCTTATTGGGTGTTGGTAGCGCTGGGCGCCCTGCTTATTGGGTGTTGGTAGCGCTGGGCGCCCCGCTTATTGGGTGTTTGTAGCGCTGGGTGCTCTGCTTATTGGGTGTTGGTAGTGCTAGGTGCCCTGCTTATTGGGTGTTGGTAGCGCTGGGCGCCCTGCTTATTGGGTGTTGGTAGCGCTGGGCGCCCTGCTTATTGGGTGTTGGTAGTGCTGGGCGCCCTGCTTGTTGGGTGTTGGTAGCGCTGGGCGCCCTGCTTATTGGGTGTTGGTAGTGCTGCCAGTGAGTCACATTTTATTTTTTAATAAGTTCCAGTGGAATGTATTTGGTCCTTTTTTAAAGGATTAACATGCTTTGTAGCTGCTTATTAGGTGTGAGTGATGTTTTTCATCTTCTCTACCACAATAACCCAGAACAATCCAGAATAAAGTACTTAAGAAGGTCAGATTATTTTAAGGAGTGCTTCCTTCCCATCCTCTGTTTACATTGTTCCATTTCAGATTTAGTTTTTTCCTCTCAGCCATTCTGTCTCTCCCAAACCTCCCTCCCCCCCCTCCGACACCCCAATTGTTCGTTTCCTTGCTTTATATGGCTGTGCCATGTTGGCGTGTTTCCCTCTGCTGATCGGACAGGAAACAAACCTTTCCGAGTTCTAAATAAGATGTAGACAGGTTAGTGTCTCTATTTATGGTTCCAGAAGCGATACAAATCATACCTCAGCTGCACTCCAGGGATCAGAGCTGCCATCTTCTCATGGTACCCCGTGTGGCAGATATTTTATATACAGGGCTCAAAATTGCCACTAGCCATTGGCAAATGGAAATGTAGCCTTAGTGAGTGTGCCATCGACTCCCCAGGCTTTCAGCGGCTAGTAGTGTAGAGGTAACATTTTATGCTATGTTTTTTTTATTGTAATATAGTGTTATGCATGTTAAGAGGTTAATACAGATTGTGGTATGCTGAATCTAATTTTGTTGATAATGGTGGAGGAAAGGAAGAGAGATTTACCCACATCCTCTCCCTCATCTGTGCTGCCATTTTATCCTCGTCAGATGAAGTGGCCATCTTTGTACTCTCGTTCAGGCATGTTTTCTGTGAGCTTTGATTGTGCATTTCACTTAGACGCATGCCCCATCGGGTGTTGTTAAAGTCCTGCCTGTGGCCATATAACATTGCATACATAAAGCCAATTAGTATGTATTTGAAGTTTTTGTGACATGCCAACTAAGTAGGTGTAAATTTTCTGCAGGCTGGTACTATTTAAATCTTATATTAATTTGTCTTAATTTAAGGCTATTCGAATTTTGGTCCAGGAACGTTTATCTCCAGACGCTATAGCCAAGTCTAATAGCTCTAAAGAGGTAAGTTTTGTTTTTCTACTTCTGTAAATAAATGCATTGTTGTGTAATTGCAGTCCATGTCTAGCTGCCTTGAATGTCCCTACCACTTATTTACTTTCTGACCATATATAGCTCACAGATCAGCCTGTCCTGATCATTACACGATCTGTGTACTTTAAATTTGACAGTTCACGTTGGTTGTTCCAGATGAGAAGAATTTCACAAATTCAGATTCTTCCAGATTAGTTCCGAGGTTTATTCTTGTTTTAAAAAAAAAAAAGTCCAGTCGTTGACCATGATATCATGAAGAAATGCAAATTTTGTTGTTGTGCAGAAACTAAAATGTCCTTTGTTCATATAAAATTGTCATCATGAAAATAGCATTTTCTCAAGACAACCTAAAACTAACCACCCCTGGGTTAGCCCCCCCCACTCCCCCAAATTGAGAAATCCTTCTTATATCATGAACAAAAAGGGGTGTTACTTTATCACAGCTAAGTGTTTTTATATAGAAAGAAAGGGAAATCGGCCTGTTTTATGGTTAATGTTACATCATTATTGATTAACCCTGACATCAGAGAGCCGTGAACCAGATCACCTCACATGTTTGGGAGCTACGCTTTCTAAAGACTAAATGAATTGTAGATCAAACATTTGCTGTGTCAGTGGTTAGTTATTACTGATACCATAGACCATTTTTCAGGATTATTTTTTTTATTTTAAGCACCAGTGATTATGTATAAATTGTCATTCACACTTCCACTGATTGTGTGAATTTTGGCTAAAAATGTTACCCCGCGTTTCCTGTATTGCAACAAAGTCTCTCGTACTTTTTGTTTAAACAAAAAATTAAAAATAAATTGAAAGCTGCTTATCTGTCACAGAAAATCTGCTGAAAGAAAAATTGTCAGAGAAAAAAATTGCACACTTACACAATTGGGGGGCGGGGGGAACTAACAAAAATAGAACGGTAAAATAACCGGATACCAGAGGAGCAGAAAGGAAATCTTTTGGTGCAAATAGGAAATGCTAAACGTGGCTAAGGAATATAAAATTTGGTTGACTTCAGTCTTTGATCGATTTCTTTTTTTTTTTTTTTTTTTTCTTTACATTTTTTTTAGGGACTTCCTGTTACATTGGACAAACACGTGCTTGGATTCGACACCGGAGGTAAAATTCTGCTTAGTATCTCTAGATCTCTGGGCTTTCTAGCTCTACTTAAAGGACCACTATAGTGCCAGGAAAACATACTCGTTTTCCTGGCACTATAGTGCCCTGAGGGTGCCCCCACCCTCAGGGTCCCCCTCCCGCCCGGCTCTGGAAGGGGAAAGGGGTAAAAACTTACCTTTTTCCAGCGCTGGGCGGAGAGCTCTCCTCCTCCGCCTCCGTTACGCCCCGCCGGCTGAATGCGCACGCGCGGCAAGAGCTGCGCGCGCATTCAGCCGGTCTCATAGGAAAGCATTTACAATGCTTTCCTATGGACGCTGGCGTGCTCTCACTGTAATTTTCACAGTGAGAAGCACGCAAGCGCCTCTAGTGGCTGTCAATGAGACAGCCACTAGAGGATTAGGGGGAAGGCTTAACCCATTCATAATTATAGCAGTTTCTCTGAAACTGCTATGTTTATGAAAAAATGGGTTAACCCTAGAAGGACCTGGCACCCAGACCACTTCATTAAGATGAAGTGGTCTGGGTGCCTAGCGTGGTCCTTTAAAGGATTGATGGTTGCTATAATTAAATTCAGCTAGGGGAGGCAAGAGCCATAAAACCAACTGGGGTGTATTGACTAAACTGTGAATATAGCTGCATTATATCTCAAATTGGAATTATCCACTTTTCCAGTTTTGTGACTTCACCCTGTGTGTTTTTATATTACATTTTTAAATACAGATTACAATTAAAGATAAATGGACTGCTCTGTCTTATTTTCTCAGTAATATAAACAAAATATATAATTTTAAAATAATAAACATTCTATCCTAGAGTCCGTTTGGTTATGTGTGGGTTTTAAATGTAAGGCTGAAACTTTCTTGAAATGTAGCCCTTTCTCTTCTGTCTGACTGGACTCTACCTGCTCAGGGCTGAGTTCTGTCTCCCAAACTGTAAGAAGTGATCTTTAACACACGGCCTCTTGTTGTTTTGAGCAGATGCAGTTTTAAATGACGCCGCCAGGATATTGCGCTTACTGCACGTTGAAGAACTGAGACAACTGCAGACCAAAATCAATGAAGCCATCGTGGCTGTGCAGGCCATCATTGCGGATCCCAAAACAGACCACAGATTGGGAAAAGTTGGGAGATGAAAACCGCATCCTATCGTTTTTCCCCCCCCCCTACTTTAACAGAGATTAGATAAAGTGTGCAGCTGTGGTGGATTGCAGCATCCAGGATAAGAGTTTGTAGAGTACTTGCCAATCACATGAAATAAAGTACTCAGCCTGATTGTTAAGAAAACAGAAGGTAATTCTGTCATTTTGTTTTAATTTATGAAGCAGTGACTTTGTTTGTTTTTCTGTAAAACTGCATGCTTAATATAAATCTCTTCCAAATCGCAAATTGGATTTCTTTTTATTTTTTAACAAATCATAAATGCACTTTTCTTAATGCCGCTGCATAGCTTGAACTGGTAAAACAAATTTTTTGCAACAAACTAAGAAAAAAACAAAAACATTTATTGAAACTTACTTGTGAAATGTTATGACGCAACACGCATTTAAAAAAATGAATTTATACAATATTGCAAAATCTTGCTTTTTGGCACAGATAAGGGCAGAGCCAGGTAACCATTTCACAGTAGACACAAGTTGACGGTCACACAGAAAGAATACATATATTTGGGGATGGGACGGGGGACTGAGTGATTACCAGTCTTAAATTTAAAAAAATAAACTCACAGATGAAAAAATTCCCCACTGTAGTACTGAGGAAATCTGCAAGGATTAAACAGTAAAAAAATCTCTGATGCAAAATTGATTGTATATTTCACTTTTACAGTCAAACTTTGTTTACAAAAAACAGTAGTAAAAAATTGAGGTAAAAACTTTACAAATTACATTTGACATGACTTTTTCCTGTTTGGTGCAGATCGGACTCTTACAGCTGTCAGCATGAGCCGTGGAGCCAGCGCTCCCATTGTATAATATTATTTTATCCTCTTGCTTTACTTCCTCCCTAGAATATTACAAATAGGAGGAAACAAACCACATGACAGTGTTACAATCATTTAACTCCATTCTAAGCTTTCCAGCCTGCGAATATAAACTGAAATCATAGCTGACTTAGAGCTGCCAGTCTGTTTCATTTGTGTGAATTGTGAAAATTAGCCAATAGTCAAACTAATACATATTCTATAAACCTGGGGTGTTGTCTTATGCCATGATTTCGGAAACCGCAGCCTCATCTGCAAGGAATTGTGGGAGAAGGGGCGGATGATATCTCCCTTCTGTAGCGAGATTCTATTCACTAAAGAATAAGATGAGTTAAGGGAACAAGTAAAAGTGGCAATATTGGGAGAATGTTTCAGACCATGGGTTCCACTTCCTGCAGCATATACATTTGTGTATATGGATAAAGGTGTTTTTATATTTAGTTTAGAACTTATTACTCTATTCCCTCCCCCCCAATGCAAATTGTGCAGCCATCTTTGACATGATGGAAACCTTCAGGTATGTAACAATCCTTACATTTTCTGCAAATTTGTTTAAAGGGACATTAGTCACCAGAACAACTATAGCTTAATGTAGTTGCTCGGGTGAGTATATTTATTATATTCAGAGAAAAGGCAGTGTTTACACCGCCAAGTGGCCACTCCTCATATGGCCCCTGGAGGTGCTTCCTAGTTCAGTGCCGTTCAGAGTCTCCACGCTCTGCATGGAGACCCTGAATTGTCCTCATAGAGATGCATTGATTCAACTGATCCTTGAGTGCCTGGACCACAATTTTGTTTAGCACCCATTACTTTGGATTTTCCCATTATAACATCACGTTTCATTATTAAACAAACTGTAAACAGTTTTAAAAGCACCATAACCACTACAGCCTGCTGCAGCATTATGGTACAAGGAGTGCCCTGTCACCTCATGTTTGGATGATCTGACACTCACCTGGGTTGTGCTGTGCTGCTTACAATCTTCTCAGAGCTGGAGAAGCCAGATGTCCGTTTTGTGCTGAATTGATTTTCAGCCAATGAATGCCTAGATCCAGCTCCGAGAAGAACGGAAGAGGTGCAGGTGCCCGACTGGACACAAGGAATTATTAATCCGTTCTACAGTGCTTATTGTCCTTGGAGTTTTTCTTTGGTTATGGTGCCTAGATTCTCCTTGCTCCATCCCTTTGTTAAACACTTTTTAAAAAATGGTTTTGAGGAAGAGAGCAAGCACCATAACTACTACAGTGTGCTGTAGTGGAAATGGCATACACCCAGTTTGACTGCATATTGGGGTTGCGCCAGACCTTCTCTACCTTAGCCAGAGGACCAGAAACTCTGCTTACTGCCTACCTTAGTGGAGGCAGGGAGCGATACTTGGAGATACCAAGATTAGAAGTCAAACTGTTTTTAATAATGGTTTGAATACTTAAATTGAGGTTTAATCAGGCAACTCCTGGTATAATAGCCACTACAATTTGCTGTGAATTTTATTTTTTTTTGTCAAAGGGACACTCTAGGTACTATAACTCTCGCTGAAGTAAGTTGTTATAGTGCCTGAAGTCTCCTGATGCTGTCCCTTCTTCAGCTGCTGGCTGTTAAGGCACCATAACCACTTCACTGGACTGAAATGGTTATAGTACCTAGAGTCCACAGTAAGAGTCCCACATTACTACTCCCTGTGTAGTAGATTCTCAGTTGCTGGCAGGCTGAAGCCAAGGCACCAATGATTATGTGGTGACGGTGGAGTTATGTTCCACATCATACCAGCGGTTACGGGCAGTGATGGGAGAATATAAACATATATTCCTTGTAGTTCTAGACCTCCTACCCCTATCTATCGAAGGGGAGCTGTACACACAGCGTTTTTTTTTTCTCCCATTAGCTAAGATCCCTTAGGAAAGTAGTTATTTCATTTTATTTACTATGACATTGTGTTCGACTAAAAGATTAAATACTGACACTGTTGCTACCTTCTGGACCACTTTGACAAATTTTCAATTGGATATTATAAGGGCATTTTGTTTATACTGTGTGTGATTTAAGATTTCGATTTATATTTTATTATTGATTTTGCAGGATCACTATAGGGTCAGGTGCACAAACATGTATTTCTGGCCTTATAGTGTTAAAACCACCATCTAATCCCCCATCCCCTTAAATATAGTTCAATCTTACTTGTATTCAAGTCTGCCGCTGCTGGCTGTGTGTCTGATCTCTCTGCTTGGCTGACATCACCAGAAGTGATTCTCTGAACCAATCACAATGCTTTCCCATAGGATTGGCTGAGACGGTCAAGGAGGCAGATAAGTGGCAGAGCCAGCATGATTCAAACACAGCCGTGGCCAATCAGCATCTGCTCATAGAGATACATTGAATCATTGCAACGCTATGAGGAAAGTTCAGTGTCTGCATGCAGAGGGTGGAGACATGGAATGTCAGTCACACTGTGCAGCACTGCCCCAGGAAGCACCTCTAGCAGCCATGTGAGGAGTGGCCAGTGAAGGTGTTTCTAAGCTGTAATGTAAACACTGCATTTTCTCTGAATCAAACCGTGTTTACTGCAAAAAAGCCTGAAGGGACTGACTTATACTCACCAGAACAAATACAATAAGCTGTAGTTGTTCTGGTGACCATAGTGTCCCTTTAAAGGTTGTTTTTATTTTTCACTTATTGAATTACCTTCTTTAAGTTAGGAACACACAATTTCTGTTGTGATTTAATTTTTTATGGTTATGACTGCATAGATCGATTTAAGTCAGAGAATATGTGCTGCTCTGATCTCTAAATAGAGGAAGTAAATATTGCGCTCACCTGTCGGACAGGAAGGATATACAGCCGTTATTCCATAAAGGTGCGATCGCTGTTCTGGAAGGTACTCGTCAGTGATCTGGCCGTTGTCTTGGTTTATGGATATTACTCCATCCCTGTAAATGTTAGGATATGGTTAGAGCAACAGAGTTAAGTTTCCCATAATGCACTGCCAGACTATGATTAAAGGGTTACTCCAAACAATATGACTACTTCTGTGATTCCAAGTGATCATGGTGCCTGCATGGGTTTCTCTTTAAGATGCTGCACCAAACTAATGCATATATCTACGCACAGAATTGCATTCAATGATTAGCTGGTAAGATTGATGTCCTGCTCTGCAGCTCTCTATAATGCCAGATTTCATCATTGGCCAAAAGGGACAGTTGGCGGCTGGTGGAGGGCTTTAGTGCTTAAAACCTTTTCTTTCCCATCCCACACTGAGCGAAGAGGAATTGTCTTGGCGCGTACAGAAGATTATAGAATTAATTTATATAAAACTTCAAAAGCCTTTTTGATATTTTGTTTGTTTAGTAGATCACTCATTTATTTGTTATCCTTATGTGGGATTGCTATATTTAAAGGGACACTGTAGGCACCGAGACCACTTCAGCTCATTGAAGTGGTCTGGGTGCCAACTCCCACCACCCTTAACCCTGCAAGTGTAAGTAGTGTAGTTTTTATAAACTGCAATAATTACCTTGCAGGGTTAAGTCCTCCTCTAGTGGCTGTCTACCAGATAGCCACTAGAGGGACTTCCAGCTTCTTACACGACCAAAAGTCTATGCTTGAGGACTTCCAGCGTCGCTGGAATCCCCATAGGAAAGCACTGAATAATGCTTCCTCCCGGTGGGGGAAGAGCCTGACCCAGCACCGAAGAAAACATCGGCGCTGGATTCAGGTAAGTGTCTGAAGGGGTTTTAACCCCTTCAGGGATGGTGAGGGGGGCACTTCAGGATCATCTAGTGCCAGGAAAATGGGTGTTTTTCTGGCACTGGAGAATCGCTTTAAGGATACCAAATGAGGGAGCTATCTTCTAAACACATCAAATCCCAACCAGCCTCCCTAACCATTCTCTGGGAGGACTGAAGAGGATCCTTTCCCTGGTGGCGAGTAGGTGCTGCTGTGATGATGTCATATCCCAGCTGCCGGCTCACTGCAGGGCACACGAGGGAGCTGCACAGTAAGTAATGGGATGCCTGCCTTCTTTGTTGCCCAGATGGCAACTGGGCCGCATTACAAGGGAGAAATTCAGGTGGGGAAACAAAGCGATTTCTTTTTTCCCACCTGAAGTGAGATTCATTTAATTACTCAAAAATAAATCGAATCTGACTGTTTACGCAGACCGTACATGGCCAAGATTTGTAATGAGCTTAGAGCTTAATGCAGCCATAGCTTTACAGGGAGAAGCACATACTGGGTCCTTCAGAGTTAATTGATTTTCACATTTTAGATCCAACAGCTGAACTGAAAACATTGGGACTTGGAGATAGTTTGTCTGATCTGAAACGGTTTACACATTCGGAACTATTCACACTCTAGTGAATAACATGCAACAGTTTTACAGCTTTTCTTCCAGACTGATTAAATCGGGGTCATGCTTTCCCATATTCTGTCTATTTACTGCTCTCATTCTGTCCCTTCCAATGTAGGGGTAGAATACACAGTACTGCAAGGTACCCCCAGCCCACGCACTCACCTCCTCCAGTCTGTGTGGTAGAAGTGATTTGCGTACGCTACAACGCTGAATGGATAGTTGAGGTTACTTTGTATTTCCCGTCTTCCTGTTCCATTTGATAAAATACATTCTAGTTTCTTGGTTCCTTTAGAGGGAGGAAAATACTTTTAAAATTAAATTCACGCAAGAAAAAAAGAGCTGAGAGGAGGAGAGCAGTGTGTGTGTTTCTGAATTACATGAGGCCCGGGTCATTTACAAGCTCAGTGTTTGACTTTGCACCACCGACACAGACACACAATTATCATTCAACCATTTCCCCTGTAATAGTGTATATATCATGGCTACAAATACACCTGCATAACCCACCTACCTAAATACCACCACGCGTGTTATCTAACTTACCATACAAGCTACCTCTAACCTAAATACCCCAATACCACCAAGCATGTTATCTAACTTACCATACAAGCTACCTCTAACCTAAATACCCCAATATTACCAAGCGTGTTATCTAACTTACCATACAACCTACCTGTGTGTCTGTTTCAAGGTTGTCTTTGTGCGTGTCAGGAAGTGTGTCTTGCTGGAAATAA